CAGAAAAGTTGGATGTTTTGGACGAAATCAAAACATATCCATCAAGAACCTCGCAGGCCAAGTTGTCGCGTGATTTGCACATTTCCCGTCGTACCCAACTCAGGTTGATGGCCAGCGAAAAGAAAGTTCGGCAGAATCTGTCGTATGGCACTGCAAGCTCTCAGAAAAGGAAGCGATGTGGAAAGGATGATGAAGTTAAAACTGTATTCAAAGATTGGATGATATCGGTACGTGAGCACAACCAAACAATTACGGGCCCGCTTCCGGAGAAAAAGGCGGAAGAATTCGGGAAAGATATGGAAAAACTTTTGCTGCCACAGAAGAATGGTTGCAAAGATGGAAGAATAGTAATCAAATTGTGTATAAAGGTGCGCAAGCCGAAAAGTTCCGCGGCCAGAGCCGACTGTGATAATTGGCTGAAAGATCGACTACCTGAAGTTGTAAATGCATTTGATGATGACAAGGTGCACAATGAAGATGAAACAGGTTTATTTTACCGAGCAACTTCAGAGGGCACTTTGTGTTTTTCTGCCGACAAGCTCAGCGGATCGAAAAAAGCCATGGATAGGATCACTCACCCGTGCTGATTACCGGTTGAAAGCAGCAAGTAGATGTTTCTCTGTGTAGCTGCATCTAATGTCACTCAGGGCCAAAGACATGTTATGTTGGCTATAAAATTGAAGACTGGTAGCTCAGGTTGTTCAGATGGCAGTTGAACTGTTCGCTGAGCTTGGCAATTTGGTTGCAAACGTTTCGTCACCAATCGAGGTGACATCATCAGTGCGTAGTGGAGTGGTGTACAGTAGCGTAGAATAACGTAGAGGAGCCTCGGCACTGTTACCGAGGCTCCTCTACGCTATTCAACGCTACTGTACACCACTCCACTACGCACTGATAATGTCACCTCGATTGGTGACGAAACGTTTGCAACCAAATTGCCAATCTCAGCGAACAGTTCAACTGCCGCATGTTATGTTGTGGTGCACTTGATATATTTTATGTCGGCAAAGTGTTTGTCTAGGAATATCTTAAATTCCGACGCTGAATTTGCCTCAACTACATGCTGCGGCAGGTCGTTCCATACATTCACCCATCTGCGTTCGAAACAGAGTTGGTGAACGATCCGCTTCAAATCCGGTACTAAAAGCTTGTACTGGTGTCCTCGTGTGTTGCTTCATGTGCGCAGTGGCCTCAACATGGGGTACTCACCCAGATGTAATATCCGGTGCGTCATGATGTTGTCAATTCGCAGTTGACGATAAACTAAGGTGTAAAAACCTACTTTCATACACCGGCCTTCGTAAGGTGCACCACGTAAATTGGGAATCAGCGTGGTGGCCACATGCTGCACTTGCTCAATCTTTTCTACCTCGGACAAGGTGATAAGAATATACGCGGGAGAGCCATACTTTAGCATTGGTCGTATTATTGAGACGAAGAGGCGAGTGGCAATCTCTTCGGACCAAGTGCTAAAGCTGCGCCTGAGCGCCCAAAGAATATGAAGGCTGTTTTGGTAAAGCCTATTCATGTTGTCCATGGACTTTAGGTCGTAACGCGAGTACACCGATGTCTGGCGTAAAAATGTCAGGCACGGATAAAAGAAAACTGATTTTGATTGGAAAGAGTAAGAAATCGCGATGCTTTACTGGCGTGAAAGTGGACACACTTCCCGTAACTTACAGACCTAACGAAAATGCGTCGATGACGAAAGCACTTTCTACCGAGTGAGTCCTCGGATGGGACAAGGAGCTAGGCCAATGTGGTCGAAAATTTTTATTGCTTTTGTATACATGCACAGCTCATTCACAGGTAGGTCTGAAAAGCATTCAAATTGAGTTTTTGTCGGCATTCTTCAACACATGGACCAAGGTGTGATTATGAGTCTGCAAATCCGTTACAGGGAGGAAGTTGTGGACCGAATTCTTTATCCCATCGAAAACAACGTGTTATCTGGCTCATCTTTGGCGGTGGATATCAACGCCAAGATCTCTGTGCTCGATGCAGTTCAGTTCGTTTCAAAAAGTTGGAGACAGGTTACCGGTGCAAAAATAAAACCTTACTTTCTGATGACGCCTTCATCGCTGAGGACGAGATTAGCGATTGCACAATCCCAGTCATTAATGCAGAAGAGTTCGTCGCCATTGACAACGATATGGAATGTACTTCAGATCTGACAATTGTTGAAGATGAAATGGTCAGTAAAATGTTAGAGAACCGACTAGAACAGAAAGAAGGCAGCGACTCAGATGATGACGTGCCAGGTGCCTCCGTGAGTAACGGCAATCAGCGCGTGTCGCATTCAAGGGCGAAAAACTGTGTGAGTGATCTGTATAGCTACGGACGTTTGCATGGGTTTGGCAACAATTTCTTGTCCAAAATGGACTTCATCCGTGCAAAAGTGGTTGGAGTAGCAGCTCAAAAGAATGTACAACAAATGTTGGATTGTTTTCTCAGCAAAATTATACAGTAGCGCCAGTTTCTATAACTATCCAGGTAAGATGCTTTATGTTATAATTTTTAAATTATAGGTCATGCTTGTAGCGGTTGTGATTACAGTATATTTTATCATTGTTTTTATCACTTCCGTTACCGACCGTTTTGTACCATTTGTTTAAATTCACAAATTCTGAATAAAACATCTTCAACGCGCTCGCGTCGTGCTGGTTTCGCTTGCTGCTGCCTGTGCTTGTGCTACCGCCACGTCTTTCCAGTAGTCGTATTTATGTCTTCGAATCGGTAGTCGGCATCGGACTAACGGCAACTGAAGGAAGAACTGTAACGTGTGTGCTTGATTGTAATTCTATTGTGAGCTTTTGCATAAGATCGCCTTTTGCCCCAGGACTTGAACTTTCTACGTACCGGTCTTCTACATGCTCTTGTGAATAAACGTCTTTTGTAGGCTTTAGTTACAAGTACGTATTTCATGCTTCCTAGCACGTCACAACTCAAGTGATATACTGTATAATAATTCAATGGTTGCTTCCCTTTTGGTTAATTGCCCACCCCACCTAAGTGCCTACTTTTGAAATATCCCCATAGTGGGTAATAAAGTGGGTTCGACTGTACCGATTTCAATTTCAAGAGAGTATGGCTTTCATTCTGAACTGAAACGGTGTTCAAAGTAACGAAACACCGGGGGGGGGGTGTAGCTAGGGCCGTTCCATCATTGGAAATTCGGTCAGATTCTGTGGGTCTCATTCACCACCAGTGGTAGTGATAGTAGTGCACGGGGCAACGCGATGCAAACAACCCAGACTGAAAGAGCATGCCAGCGATCAAGTGGGGACAAAGTGCAAAGCTCACCACCTATGTGCCACAGCAAGAAGAACTGCTTTAGGGAATTTCACACTGTAACACGGAATCTCCTTATATTTGACGTTCCCTGATCGGTACGAAATAGCTGTGGTAGTTTGGATGGTGGTAGAGGGAATTGATCCGTTTTCGTGCCAATAAACTAGGTAGATAGCTGAGACGGGAAATGTGATCAGTAGCTATTTTGCCCGGTGGATGTCGCAAGTTTGCATCATGCCTAAACTTAAAATGTTTTACAATCAAAGTAAGTATATCCACCTAATTTAGCATCTAAATGTTAGCGAAATCACAAATAATTAATTTTCAAACACAGTATAAAATAAATTCGGATAGAAAGGGTTAAAATAAAGTACCGCACATTGCTTTCGTCGTTAAAGAACATGTGGATGCTTGCATCAACGTTCAACCAGGGTTTTACACAACCCTCTCACCCTTCTACATACCATCTTCATCGGAACTATATCCATTTCTTCTATAAGGTCAACATTTAAGGTTTTGCATTATCGTATCGCGTTGTATCGAAACTCTATCATGCCTTAGCTAACACACTTACTAGTCGACCCATCAGGGATGAAACACCGCTTTCGTGAACATATGCTTGATTGAAGATGCATCTCATTATTATCTTCGAACATATCTGGAACCGATCGGGAAGTCATCATTTCAGAAAACTTGGTGTATCGTCATAAATACATTAACCGGTCGTTTACCAAGTTTTCTGAAATGCATCTTATTAGTTTTACTGCTATCGATTTTTAGCTTTTTCAAAGATACTTTGTTGTATTATATCCCGCCGTGTCAGTTTGAAATGAAAAAGATCGCTCATTTGGGTGAATGAAGCTTATTTTGCCTTGAGCTGACTTGACTATCTCGATTGTAAACTGAGAAGCTACTTCAATCTGGGTTATGTAAACCCGTAAGGACGATATGCTGCGAGGAACCAAATGTTAGCGATCATTCAAGGCATATGGGTTTCTGTTTGAGGTGCTGTCCGTCGTCAGTTCATAAAAGGCTAGGATTTGTTGGCATCAGCCACAGTGCGATCATACGGAGTATCGTATGGGACACCTAACAGGAAATCACGGTTGAATTGGACGGCTCGAGATCCCAGTGAGTTGATCAAGGATAAACAAACATAACACAATATATCGGAATACATTTGGAACCGACTGGCAGTTCATACTTTCAGGCTTTGAATATAGATAGGTTTTTAGTATTTTTATTATGGTTACGTTTCGCTATCGATGCCCGACGGGTCAAAAGGTCATTGCAGTGTGACAACAAGCATCGAGCCATCACAACACAACGTAACATGTATGTGACAGGCGCATTAAAATAACCGCAAACTACAATGACACCTGATGGAAAGTAACGTTTTATAACTAGCGAGAACAAGTGGTATACATAACGGGAGATGCGCACATCCTGAATTAAGATATTCCGCTTCGCCACCCTAGTGGACAAACAAAGGAAAGCAGAAGCAGTTTACACAGTCACCAGTCAACGAACGTATTGAGGGCATGCAGTGGTACACAACCGATTCGCTTAATCAAATTGAAAATTATGCTAATACTCTATCGTCTTATCGCGTGGATCAAATAAACGATACTATAAACAAGTCAAATGGCAGGAATGGCACAGGTGCGCAGCAAATCACAGTTAACAACTGCCGAGAATACGTGAATTACCGTGATGGGTATCCTCGAACTCAGAGGAATCGCGCCTCGATCGGTAGCAACCGCCCAGAAGCGATGAGTTGAAGCGACTCGATAGTCCAGTTTGCGAGCAAGCGTAAGTAACCCAGTTTCGGAATCGCAAGCGAAGTAAGACAAGGAATTGATGTATTCCTTGTTCAGCGGAGATGGCAAACTGGATTCGCTAGTAGCGGAGCCGTGAGCTTCCAGCGTGTACATGACCTGAGTTCGAAATTGTTCAAGCAAAGCAATTTACAGAGTGCGGTGAAAAAATGAAGAAATTAATGATAAGTCAAGCTTGATAAGTCGTCATTACGAGTTTACTTCCATCAGTAAAGCATCAGCAAAAAAGGGCGATTCTAGGTGGAAAACTCCGGGATCTGCTCGTAATAGTAAAAACATTTTAAAGACGCGCAAACAACAGTAATGCAGCCCTATTGAACGAACCTGTCCGCCGTAGCCAGTGTCCGGGTCAATAGCTACAAGTAAGAGCAGAGCATGCTGCGCGTTTTCGTTCTCGGAGACAAATAACGTGTGTTCGGGTACGAGGAAACGGGGCGCCACATCGTTCACATCCTGTTGCCCGATGGTTGTCAAAAGGGAAAATTGTGAATTAGGAAATTTATGGTGAGAAGAGGAGATGATAGATATTCTTGCCACTTTAGAAGTAGTGGAATACAGAAATTTGGAAAAATGGAACCTTTGATAAAGGATGATGGAAAGTGATAGTAGAACAAGAAAAGTAGAAATCACATTACAAAGATGAGTGGAGAAACATCATGTGCAAATAATTTTTGATAGCAAAACGTAATCACGGCCAGAACATCAAAAACACACTGTGTTTAATGCTGGTGCATCAGAAAACCTCGGATAGACGAGGTTTGGAAGTGAGGTGCTAATGCAAGCGGCACAGAGTTCACGAATAGGCGGTGACGAATTACCACTGAAAAAGCCTGTCCGAAGACCATTATCGACAGGGACGACCAACAGCCCAATCAATTCCGTTGGCCAACCGGAGGCGGAGTGTTTCAAAAGCCATGCGAAGGGCCACACAAAAATAGCACGGCGAACAGTGCACATGCGGTCGTCTAACAGGACCCAAAATGACTCTAGCCGATTTGTTAAAGATGATTACCATTGGTCAGTGACTCGAAAGCGCCAAAGAAAAAAATGCATACCTGCTGCCAATTAAGATTTGAGTCGGATACAGGATAAATGTAGCACAAAAGACCAAAGGGCCAGAACAAGTGTTGTAGGTTAGCTATTCTGACAGAGCGTGTGCGTTGGAAAACTCACTCTGAACTGAGATATTTGTTTTGGTGAACAATGCAGGCACACGGAAGTTACACATTTTGCAGTCACGCTTACAATTCACAATTGCCGTTTCTCAAAGACAACTTTGGAATAAGTGAGTTCTGAAGATATGCCCAGTCATCTACAGCAGAATTAGGATTGAGTCCTTGACAAAAAAGCTTTTCAAAACTATCAGACTGCGAGACTGCTCGACAGCAAATATCGCGAAGCTCCAAGAAACGCCGGCTTTAACTGACGTTCCAGTCTGCAAGGACGAAAATCTATCCTTGGCATGCGAGCACACTATCACATATAGCAACCTTTGATTTGGACTACGCAGTCCTGTTGAAACTATCCACGCAAAAACAGATTCTCTACGCCGATACTGAATCAAATCAGACGAACGAAAGAACGGGCCTATAAATCCAAAATGTCTGACCAGGATAAACGGCAATTATTGGCAATAAAATCAGAGGGAATACGATTGAATCGTTTAGACATTGGAATGGTGTTAGGTAAGCACGATTATCGCCACCTTTGTAAGCACTCAAAGTAGTTGTGGCAAAAGTCCACTAGAACGTTTTGATAACGTGGATGTGCACAGACTCAACGGTGATTTTTGTTTCCTCACACCAGATATGTATTCCCTGACCACCTTCGCCAACCTAGGTCCAGAAGTGACCATTAATCGCCACGTTAATAACGGAAAACGCAAAAAAGAAGATAACTAAGGTTGCTTGACCTCCATTCGTTCTAAAGGAGAGCGCGGATTATCTCGCGGTATCCTTACTCGCTCTGTGTGATGTGAGGGACACTCGGCGCAACGAGACTGGACCTAAACGGGATGCGAGGATTTGCGTGCCTTTTTGACCCATTAAGCTATACTAGGTGGTTCCGCTGGGCCCCTTGAGAGCTACTCCTACCAGGTTGGTCAATGGTTAGAGGTCAGACAAACTCAGCATCCCGTTTCGCCTGATTGCGGGTTGGAAATGGGATGGAGTCCATTACTGTAAAACCGCATCGTTGCCACATCCGCTGCCTTGAGGACAGGCTTTGCAACCAAGTATTTTGGTTGAGGACACTAATCGTCTTCCTGTCTAGGTATGTGCACCCTAGCAGTATCTCAGGCCACATACAACCATGTCTATTTATCCAAACTCTAACTATATCCCGCAGCGAGGTCGAGCAAAGTATCAAGGTTCTCTTTATCTGCTGCATACAGCAGGGTGGATAAGCAAATACATACTACCGCTGGCGCCACCTTTCTTTCTTTTCTAACCATTTTTCTAACCTCCCAAGTTTCCCACTATACTTTCCAGCTTAATTCACAGCAGCCGCAATATCACTGGAGTCATACCATCTACAGTAATCTTCCCGCACCAACCACTGGACACCCATCGGCAGCACCCCCTAATGAAGCCACGCTGTCCCATTTGCATGGCGGCGTTCAACGTTCGCACTCTAAGACAAACAGGTCAACACGCTGCACTCGCGCGCCCGTTGGACACGATGAGATTTGACAAGTGTTGCGTATCCGAAACTAGGATCAATGACCCTAACGAGGTTGTTGAATTAACTGCGCCCAGCCTGTCTTCCCGCAATTCGTTGCACGCATCCGGAGACACTGATGCGGCAACCACTGGTCATTATTGTGACCCTCGTTCTCAGCTCCAAGGCTGTCATCGTTAGTTGATTGGAATCCCGTGAACATCTATCTGCGTAGATCGTTTGACGACATCAACTACAGTTGGATCACGGAGTAGTACAATAATGTTTGTTTGTGGTTTCCGCTTATGCCCCCACGGACTAAAGCTCTGATGCTGCCAAGGGGAGACGCTAATACGCAGTGCTACCAGTTCTGATACCACAGTAGTTGCAGGGGATACGAATGCGCAATTAGGGCGCCTGGGCTCAGCCAGGTGGTAATTATGGACTTAACTCTGAACGGACGGACAACGACGAGCGTCTGTTGCAACTGCGTGCAAAGCACCAGCTACTACTAAGAACCACCGCTCTTAAACACAGTGGGTACCGAAATGCCGATTGGTGACCTCATGCAGCTAACAAGAGATGGACCTAAATACATCACATTGCCAAACTTACAGGTGCCGTAGTTCCATCCTGGATGGTCGCTCGTTCTGGAGTACCTACCTCGACTCTGATCATGCCTTAGTACGCTGTCGTTTACACGTGAACTTTACCGAGAGCCGCACCAAGCGTCTCTGTCGATTGGCAACTGAGAAGTTACCTCAGCCCTCGGTCAGCAAGTCAACCTGGACTGACCAGTATTTGCATGTTACGAGTTTCTCTCCAATCCAACACAAACGCTCTCTTGTCCGGAACCTATTTTATCGGGCCCACATGATCTGCATCTCAGATACCATAGAAACAGAAAGGAACTTACTATTCAACACGCTGCAATCAAAAGGCTATCCGTTAAAGTTTGATGAGCGCCAGTGGGAAACAAACAAGATCGTACGATGACAGTCCCAAAGAAGCCCATTTTCATTGAGCTACCTTTCAAAGGTAATAATGTCATGAAGGTCACCTAGAAACGCATAAGTGCCTCACTGAAAAGAGCGTACAACACGGCGGAAATGCGGCTGCTCATCTCGAATAGACCTATGCTAATGTGTTCGATTAAGACACGGATGACAAAGCAGAGCATGTCGCACTGTCTATACAAATTTATCTGTAGCTGTGAAGACAGCTAATTCAGACGCAGTAACCGGAGTCTAAATATCAGAATCAATGAACACATTCCAAAGTGGTTACGCAGCCGGATAATATCGGCGACGACGGAATCAGTTGACTCGGGAAACCGAGCTACATCAGCAGCCGTCAGGCACTTGGTGACTACTGACCACCGAGTCAATCCTGATGAGTCGTTCACAATCCGAATGAACGATCAGCGGCCCCAAACCCTTAGGCTACTGGAGGCTAACGTTATCAATCGCAAACGACCACGGTTGTGCATTGAAAAACAGCCGACAGTGGTTCTAAGTCTATCGCGGTAGTATATGCATCACCGTTTGTTTATGTTCCAATGTTGCATGTTTTTGTGATTGATAAGAATGCATGAAATGACGGCGTCATCTCACAATGTACGTTTCTTGATTGTTGTGTTTGGAAACGATTATTTCAAATTCCCATTATTGTTCAATTTCGCCACGGACTGCATCATGGAGTGTTTCCGTGCGGAATCTCCCGATAGAGGCGTTGACGTACTGGCTGATAAAAGTTTAGTTGATCTTGATTATGCGGACGGCATTGTATTGCTGTTTACGGATGCTGGGGAGGTCCAAGCAACCATGAATAACCTCTAGAGTGATCCCATTATTTGGTATGCGCTTCGCACCTTCAAAGTGTTGTCGCAGGACCCCTTGACCTTTGATAGCGAGGAACTCGAGGTAGTTGGTCAATTCACTTATCATGGCAGCTGCATCAGAGACGACGGGCGCATAACGACTGAAGTCAGTTCACGCATCGTAAAAGCCAGAACTGCATTCATGAATCTGCGACATTCTTAGCGACAGAAAGGAGTTTCCCTCCGCCTGAAAGGCCATGTTCACAAGGCCACAGTGAGGGCCGTTCTGCTCTATGGGAGTTAGACTTGGCCCCTTCGGTCTGAAGATCTGAGGCGCCTTCAAGTCTTTAATCATCGTCGTCTGCGAAGCATTGTTGGTGTCGAGTGGCACCAGCGTGTCCGCAACGATGATATGCGTAGGGGAGTGCTAAGCAGCGATAATCAATTTAGTTCCTAAGAACAACAGATCCAACTAAATAAGTTGCGTTTGCTTGGGCACGTACTACGTATGCCCGGTCACCTCTTACCTAGCCTTGTTTAGTCTGCCAGATGTAGGGTGGCGCAAAGCCCGAGGTGGACAAAAGTTGACATGGCGGCGGGAAATGAAGTCACTGACGACCAAACTGGGTGCCGTTGGTCCGTCTCGCCTTCCGGGCTGGAGTCCACGTGACTCGCCTTGTGCTTTGCTTGAGACTTTACAGGACATGGATCGCAGCTGACACCAGTGGCGCCTCTGCCGCCGCCCCCTAGTCGAAGTGCCTGTTTAAAGAGTGTTTGGTGCCGAGTTATTTGCGGGGTAATGGCTGATCGTGACGCTGATGCAGCCTTATATTTGCATCACAGCGGTTTGTGACGGTGTGTTGTTGACACAAGGTGTGCGTGCCTTGACCCTGAATGTTTGCTTAGGACATAAAGGGTTCCCGGTAAATCCATGTTCTGTCCCGCTTATTAGTATACTTTTCGTAGATCGTTGTGGTTGCATGACCACGAAGCATCAGTTCAAATGTCTGATGAAATGCTGCTGCTGATGTGACATAATCCGAGGCATTTGGAGACCTGAAAGTACGTCGATGATGTTGGAAGTATTCGAGAAATTACTTGTGCTTTAGATTTCCACACTCATCCAGGCAGACGATGCAATATCAGTTGGCCTATAAACCCAGCAAATTCATACTAGATGATCAGTCGTATCTTGTACATCAGGCATCATTTTTGTTCCAATCCTGATGTTTTACATGGAATGATTCTGTCCCCTCTGTTTGCTTTAAATATCGAAAAACTTCCTATATCGTGCAACTTTATTGGATGCAAGTAAGCAGAAAACGTCCTTATGGGTGTATAATTCGAACGTTGAGACATGTACACTCTTCAGAGTGAATTAGATGCGTTTTTGCTTTGGTCATCGTCCCGGTCTCTCATTCTGAACATTTCTAAACGTTATGATGTAACATTCTCTTTTTTCGGGCGGATAAGCCGAAAGATGTTTCAGATGGCACTTTCTCACAAGCAGTGAGTGATCAACTCATACCCAGGACACAGACTGTCAACTATCTTCGAGTTGTTTATTCCAAAACCTACCTTGGTCTACCCATGTCGCTGAAACAATTGAGAAGCTTAGATGGCTACCCATTTATGCCCTCAGACTTAGAGTGCTTCCGGTACCTCGTGAGTTGATTCCTAAATTTGTTACTGCATACATTTTGCCTCATTGGTTGTAATGATCCCCAGTAATTTTTATAGGCTATTCGATAAAAGACTACACACCGCTGATACGGCCGAAAAGAGATATTTCCAGATGTAGTGGACGGTATAGAGATTTGTTGATTTTATTGTCAACAAAGATGTAGACGCTCGTATTAGTTTTTACTTCCATGTTCTAAATGACCCTTACCATCCAGTACATAGTGCTTTATCGAAAGCGCCATATGTTTTCTCCACGCGCTCTGAATTTAGTCTTATTTTTTGTACTGCTTCTTTACACAATTATATCCCACCATGCATGTTACCTCTATGTGTTGACCCAACGAAGCTCATCAGTATGATGCCCAGTCGTTTGACTGATCGATATGCCAACCCATTTTGTACTAGATATTTTTATCCATTATTATAATGTATGTATCCATTCGCAATGAATACTGGTTCGAAGCAGCGAGGAGAGCTTGCTCTGTGTAGCTGCATCATTCGTCGCTCTTGGACATATACTCCTTATTTATCGTTACGCTCTCTATATTTTGTCTCTGCAAAGTGTTTGTCTAGGAGCTTCTTAAATTCGGACACTGAGTTCGCCTCTACTATGTGCTGCGGCAGGTCGTTCCAGACATTCACCACTCTGCGTTCGAAACAGAGTTGATGAGCGACCCGCTTCAACTTCGGTACGATAAGTTTATACCGGTTTCCTCGCGTGCAGCTTGGTGCGCACAGATGACGCAGTTGTCTCAACATGGGGTAATCACTCAGATGTAATATCCGGTGCGTCATGATGAGGTCAACTCTCAGCCGACGATAAGCTAGGGTGTACAGCCCTAATTTCTTACATCGGTCTTCGTATGACATATCTCGTAAGTTGGGAATCAGCCTGGTGGCTACATGCTGCACCCGTTCAAGCTTTTCTACATCGCCCAGAGTGATGGGACAATACGCGGGAGAGCCTATTCTAGCATTGGTCGTATTATCGAGACGAAGAGGCGAGAAGCAATCTCTTCGGACCAAGTGCTGAAGCTGAACCTGAGGGCCCAAAGCATACGAAGGCTGTTTTGTTACAGCCTATTCTTGTTGTCAATGGACTTTAGGTCGCAGCGTGAGAGCACACCGAGGTCGCGCACGAAAGGCGCGGGATGCAACGGTTGACCAGCCACTGCGTACGTTCTGCTGTGCTCACACTTACCCAACCCCATAAATGGCGACTTGGCAGGGTTGATCGGAAGGTTAACCTCTGTAGACCATGTCGAGAGGCGGTCGAGGTCCTGCTGAAGTAACTTACAATCATTGAGTGTGCGGATTATTTTCCACACCTTCAAGCCATCTGCGAACAACGCACAAGGTGATTGGAGTAGCTGAGGCACATCGTTCACATAGATCAGAAACAATATCGGCCCCAGTACAGTGCCTTGGGGCACGCCGCTGCTCGGTGGATACCAGTCAGTTAGATGGTTGTCCACCTGGACCCTCCACTTTCGATCAACAAGGAAATTTCTGATCCATTTGTGCAGCGAACCACCAACACCGCACATCCTCAGCCTGTCATGGAGCACTGCATGGTTAACCTTGTCAAACATCTTACTGAAATCAATGTAAATGACGTCGACCGATTGGCCTTGGTTCAGCACTTGTAACCATCGTGTCTCGTCAACAGTAGGTTGGCGATGCACGAGCGACCTTTCATGAAACCATGCTGTGCGAAGGTCAACAGGTTTTTCGACTCGAGAAGCTGCAGCAGGCTCTACTTAACGATCTTCTCGAGCGTCTTTGCCAAAACAGCGGTCAGGCAGATCGGCCGGTAGTTATGCACTTTGCTTGGGTTACCACTTTTCGGTATGGGCTTTACGACTGAGCATTCCCAGTCGCCCGGTAACAGTCCAGTGAATAGTGACCTGTAAAAGAGTTCAGTTACAGAAGGCGCGATGATGGCCGATAGGGTGAAATACGCATAGTCTATTGAGTTGACTTGAATGACTTCGTCATAAGCTTCTATGAGAGGACAGTAGGACTGTGCGTCGGAACCGAAACAATAGACATGTTGGGAAATAGGGACCCGGAGAAGTTTGAAAATGTCACTGAGCTCAGATCACTCGATTACGCAGGTAAGGGGACCCTCAAAGCCGTCGATGTGCAGTTTTGCGGGTGAAGGTATCATCACGTTTAACAACAGCATACGCAAGTATAAAACAGTAATTTGAATTGACGCTTCATAACCACACCAACACAGTGACTGATGGAAAAATGAATAACGGAAGTGGAGATGGAGGACCCAGTGTAAAGTCTAAATGATCTAAGCAAAAATGATTCACCGTCAACGTGAGTACACCTTGTCAACAACAGACGATTGTGATATCGTGGCATGAGCAGAAAAGCGCGCCGTCGCAAATGATGGAATTACCAGATTTGCACATTGGTAAACAGGACGAGAGGTTAAGGAGAAAAGAGAGGATAAGGATGGGGCAGCCGAAGGGTTTCAGTTCACCTAAAACAATAAGCTGACCCAAAAGAATCAAGAGAAACGGACTGCCGAAATAGTTGGGGAGCAGCAGTGAGAAACTTCGTTTTTATACCATACAAGGACAGTGCAATGTTTGTCAGTGGTGGCTTATCCAGAAGTAAACTATTTATTCCTAGAAGTGACTCACCGTCACATTGATTGATAAGTAGGCACGAGCTGTTAGGCCGGTCGATGTGTCCAAAACTTCTAGCAACAAGACATAGTTGGAGGCTGACTCGTAATCCAGCGGTCTTATGAGTCTGACTAAGCCTGGAAGGGATGAAATTTTAAACGTTTAGAGATAAAGAATAAAGAAGCCAAGAGAACTAAGATACACAAATATAAATTCAGGCATCGTGATAACCGTTGAGACGGATGAGGAGAAGCAAATGTTTTAGTGTCCCGTTGACTAAACACTGGCGTTCGTTAGTGACAGGTTGAAGAAAAACAGCTTTTGCACAAAATCGAAGGAAAACAGTCTGGACGTTATGACGGAGTCGTAAATATGAGGATTATTTTGAGTAGTTACAGACAGCCCCGAAACACTATCCTGCGGGTTAAAATCTACGAATTTTAATGATGGAGCGTGTGTTCTTAAATCAGTACCTTGGTTAGGCACCATATATTCAGTTTCAAAAACTGCCTGAGCATATTCTTCATCAGAAGGAGCTAGCTTTGAAAGACAGTGCAGCAAAAATCAGTTGGTGCACGGACGCAAGGAAGGTGAGCACTAATAAGGTGAGGAGGAGAGAAGAAATATGAGACTATGTACTGGAAGCTACACCGAACAAACACGCGTGTTCAGAGTAAATGCGGGAGACGGCGAAGACGACATCGAACAGGGGACATCGCTGATGCATTGGAAAATAAACACAATACGGCGAATCGGGAAGGGCAACAAAACGCAAATCACTGTGACAGGGATAGACAACACGCCATGTGACGGCCAAAATGCATAGCGCACCACGGAGCAAGCAAACACAACACATGAGGGGCAGGAATTCGACTTACAGGGACCTGTGTTCAGATAAGCTGAGGAGTGGGGTCGAACGAGGAGTACAAATGCAGTTGCCAATTGGCAGGAATAAACGAATGACCACATCAGAGGACATCACAAGTTTGTCTAGGTGTTCAATAACAAAAAAGGGTAGGAAGAAGCGCGATCGCTTAAACTAATGATTCTCGCGAACTAGTCAATCGATCTCATAAGCTGTAGCCGTACGATAGCAGATGGAGGTAAATATGGAATTTTCTGCAGTCGACAATCCTGTGAATATGAAAGACGCCTAAAAGAGACGTTAAGCATAGACTATAAATCGATAGGGTTACTCATGAATGGCATGGATGTGCATCGAAAATAACAGGGATGAGAAAACGGAATAAATTGGCAAGATTGACGCAGTTAGCATACAAAGTAGATTAATCAAGCGACAAATGGCAAAAGAACACAGGGGTCAAAGGGGCAACGAGTTAGACGCGTGTGCCCTCAAATTATTACCCATAGGAACTGATCGATAGAGATGAGGGCAAAAGGAGAGGGGAAACAGACGGAGCGGCCGGATTGGGATACCATGCCCGCAAGCACGGAGAAATGATAGAGTACAGAATCTAGCCACGGGTATGAGTACGTGGGCTTGCACTGCGTACAAAGCATGAGTAAGCAAAATCGATGCAGATGGGACGAAAAAGTAGGACGACCCGCTTTAAGAGAACGGATGACTATATTATAACAAATATAACGTTGGAAGGATTCGTACATGAAGCGAGGTTGTCAACTAAGTGATCACCGGTAGTCGCGTTTGTGTGGAGGGGAGCAGAAATAATTCAGAAAAGTAAGGTGCTGTGGTGTGAAGACTTGAGGTGGGGGTATGGGCTAATTTGGCTATCACAATGCTCTACAGAAAAGATAGATTCAAAATACGATAGCAAAAGCTGTCACCGATGGCGGAGTGTGCAGTTAGCAGCGAAACGCAAAACTCGTTGCATCAAGCCGGTTACACAATCCCTGAAGACACACAGGTTGATAACTAACAAAAAACAGTGCACTTGGAGGGTACGCACAGGAGAGTGAGGGATGCGGAGGCGATAAGAATATTTAGCTGATAAGATTGTGTTTTAACGGAATAGCTGCCCAAGCATAACTCAGCAGCCGTAGGACTATGTGACAGGGCTGAGCCGGTCAGGTAGAGGTCGATATGGTGGGAGGAATTCAAAGCGTGGGTTGGGGATGAGGTTGACGGGTACAATTGAGCCGATGGTTGCAAACGGAGTAAATAGTAAGGAAAAGGGGAAATTTTTGGATGGATATGAGATAGAAAGACGCAATGAGAGAACAACATAACGATTCTATTTAACAGAAGTATGCTGAACCTGTGATTCGATGCGTAATAGACACGGACATGTAACGCAGTAGGCGATCGATGATACTATTGATTGTGTACTAAGCGGAACATAATAAATACTGTCGGCCTGGTTGCCGGTATTCAACTGGTAGATCGGAATTAGGTAGAATAACATCTAGAAAATCGTTATTCCACGAGCAAATCGATGACTGTGCGATAAAGAACAGGAATACACCCGCGCACCAGTGAACACTAGAGAGGATACCACATACGTTCAACTTGTGTGAAACGGGAAACAGCAATCGTAGGAGTAGAACAGGCATCGGCGGCAGAGGCAGACAACTGGGTCAGGTTGTCTGTGCACCTCCAGTTCACACAGCAGCCCGGAGACCGTGCTGAGTATGCGAAAGGCGAATTAACGCAGCCAAATTACGATATAGTGTCGAGCCGATCGGAGTGAAAGAAATGTACAGAAGGATATGGTGGTCAATCGGAGTTCGGTGAAACGAATTACAGAAAGCGCATGATGAGCCTCAGTAAGATGGGACACGCAAGAACACAATGACTGCTTCTCAAATGCGAAGTATTTAAAACTGTAAGAATGTCGGTAGTTTGGAGTGTTGATCTAAAAAAAACTGACAATGATAGTAAAATGAATATCAAGCGAGAGATAAGAAAATGAAATACACAGAAGATCAAAACAAGTAACAGAGGGGTGCAACATGTTAAAGGAGGAAAGGCGATGGGATTGGTCAACGAATCAAATCCGTTCTAAGATCTTGTTGCAACAACATGTTGAAGGGGAATATAATGTGCAACCGGAAGTATCAATGAATGGTGGTGGTTGCAGTACTGCTTACAAAAGGGAACTAGTTGTTCGAGTAAATCTATCCTGATAGTCAAACTAGAACTGGTATGCCCTAGAGGTGCAATATCGTTTTCTAAATGAGCCAGGATCAAAGTGGTATGGAAATTCTATCACAGAGGCTGCGTCGAGATGAGTTGAGTAAACACAGCGTACAGTGCAGCAAGAAGTCTATCTGACATTTACGTTACTACGTCACAAGAAAATTGATGGTGTATGGCTTTGAGAGAGAGAGAGAGAAGGAAACATCGAATCGTGTAGTAAAGTTGGTAATGTGGACAGCGAACAGCTTTTCTCATAGAATGAACAACGATTTACAGGGTAAACCCATCATCATAACGCAAAAAACGTAAAGAACACAATCAGATAGCCTGGTGTGAGGACCGGCGTTAAGAGATCACCAGGGAAAAGGGGTATAATGAATTCAGACCAAGAAGGTCAAGACAGAACAGAGGGAGAATGAAATTTGGATACAGACGCGCTTTAGAATGAACAATGTGCAATACTAAAGAACTAGTTCAGATGAATGAAGATGACAAGCTGGAAACGTACTCTTTTCAAAGATGATTTGGGAAGTCGCATGGATCAGGTCCATAAGTGCATTGGCTTCGGCATTTATGTAATCGCCATAGGTGAAGTAATTATCAAGGTAAATAAATCGAATAAGCACTCCGAGTGGCGGTTAGATGATAGTGAGAATCGACAGCATTTTGCACACGGAGGTTGTAAAGCACACACCGAACAGCGCAGTGCTAAGCGTCAGTCTATCTAGTATCGCCTACATCGCGGCTGAGCAAGACCCAAAAGGAGCTGTTTGCCATCCACACACACTTGTGTTGGACACTTAGTTATCCGACAGAGGCTCCACACTTCAAGAGAGAGTGAGAGGACATGGGCAGTAGAAACAAAAACTGGGCATGAGACAACTGTGATGAGCACTAAAGGTAATGGGGAACAGCTTCACGTAGTCCCTTGCTCTACCTCGGAAATCGAGGTAGAGACATCAGATCCTTCACAGATAGGCAGTGGCACGAATTGAAACAGTCAGCGGAGCCAAAGGATGCTTTTCAGTCAAAGAAAACTACCATAGTCCGTCGTCTGTTGGTGATCGACGCGACCACGAAGTGAGTCATCACAAAATCACACCTGTGAGGTGCCTGGAAGTAAGACCAAAATTTCGGTGATCATCGCAAAAAAAGTAGCGAGCGTTTTTGAAAATAGTGATGACAATCGTCATTCTGGAGTAATTTGTAAATTATCGCACACTGCATCGGGCAGATAGGCTAGATTAGTCACTCATAGTTTTCCACCTTTTACAGACGATAAAAAGGGTACGGAGCTGCGTTTAATTTCTACACAGGGAGTTCTTGTTGAATTGCTTGCCAAGTGGGAGGTATGACACCAACGTACCAAATGTGCTAAAGCGATTCAGTGAATTGTTTTTCTTTCGAAAAATTTCCCCTAAACAATTAAGGCGATGCGAATCGTTCGTAAGATCAGACTGCCACGCGCAACCAGCACCGGCTGCATGTGAGCTGGAATGCGGACGAGTCGCTTTCACCTATGAAGTTTCGAACCGACAACTCTTGAAATACATCAAAAAGTAAAGGTGTTTACCGTATATTGACTCAGTCGAAAGTTAGCCCCAAATGAGTATGCCAAATGGCACACCAGCGTTCGTCGCGAATGCTGAATTTAGCATAAACCCAAAATGTAATCTTCATAGATACATTTCGTCGAATAGGTTAACATGCGTGACCCAAGTTAGTGTGCAGAATCGAATACATGGTGTCCTCTCGATGTCTCGGCGAGCGCTGGTAGATATTGTGGAGCAAAGACAATCAGAGGAGAAATTTACGGGAAACTGATCCACATGTCAATTGACTCTAGTGGTGTGGATGTGAAGGCGAGAGTTTGTCCGAGTCCGAGCAATGTTAAGAAGGTCACTGGTGTCCATGGTCCTCAGGTCCGTAATGCGAAAAACGTCCAGAATAAATGGCGATCACGGCCGTGAAATCCACGTTATCGTCCGATAATGCGTGATAAAACCGCAGATATCACTTAGTTAGCGTCAGATAACAAAGGATATGGTTCTGGAAATATAAACTTAAATTGATCGGAAAACTTAGCGTGTTTGTGAGTGCCACTTTGGTGGATGAGTGCCTCTGGATCAGCCACATCATGGGCAATAGGTCGATTGCCATATGGCGCGTCCGCGAAAACAATGGTGGTGCCATACCCTCTCTAGCTACTCATCCTAATCGGATCAATCCTTCCTTGATTGTTTGTACGCGCTGTAGGAAGTGAACTTTGCATCAATTTCCATACCAATTTTGCCATAAGTGCATGGCGATACTAGGTGCAGTAAGGGAACAAATCGAACTTCGTTAGTCCGATCATAGGAGGACAACGGAACCGAGCTGAACTCACAAGAGTGAAGTCCATGTGTCAGCATTGTCTGAAGATGAGAAATAAGCGTAAAGTAAAGAAATTGATTAGATTTACAGGGTGCGAAAATGAGACGAAAGGTACCTGTGTTGAATTCCAAAGTGAATGGGCTGTCAGCAAGATCAATGGATGACCAGCTTTTACGCTCGGAACCAGAAGAGCTATTTTCCACTTTAATGCTGGTTAGACGATAAATCAGACTGGCAGACGGACTCGCACTGGTCGCCTCCACAGTTGTTACAGCCTCACCAATTTGAGAAGATTCAGGTATGGAAACAGTGTAGTGTGGGGCCAGAAACCGTGGCCCGTCAGCAAACACCAGTTGGATGGTGATGGAAGCCGTCGAGGACAACCCGCCTCCGTCTATTGCAACCACAGAGGCGTCCAACTGGCGCCCAGTCCAATCCGGTGGTATGTGACGTAGCAGCTTCAACTGACCAGTCTGAGAGTCGACGGCTATCAACGGAGGTTCAACACGAGGATGGATGTTCTCCAAGTGAAATGTGAACGAACCATTGATACCATCATCCATGTCCACGGCAGTCACCTAAGATGGAATGAGTGGGAGCACTTATTGACTTTATAAATGTAGACCAGGAGCGGGAAAACAAAAGATATCTCAGTGTTAGAGAAAAAGAGGAAGAAAAGTTAAGCTATTGGCTATAAGGTGGACCGTCGTATGAGGCAAAAGTTGAGGAGAACAGTGGTGAAAAACCGTGAGTGAGAACAGAAGGAAACAAAAGTATGCGCAACGCTTTATTCACTCAGAGGGAAGTGAGTTAATATTCAAAACCAATTGTTATCGGCACTCCAGCGTACACAAGTGCAAGTTTTAAATGTGCATACCGAATGTATCATGAAATGCGCGTTAGATTAATGCAACACAAGAATGACTGAGGGATAGTGTTCAACAGTGCTTGACTGAACACAATGATGCTCCAAAGGATGTGCACAATGCGAAATATACGAAGGAAGACCAGTTCAACGAACAGGTAGTAGAGAAAAAATGAATGACGACAAACAGAGTGTGGTAGGACGCGAGTTAACAATCACAAAGGGCATTGCGGCGAGGAACGTGAGCAAATCAGCTTTTGTAAAGCAAGGCTCTCTTCTGTGAAATGGATGAACTGACCAAGACAACAGTGATGAATGCGATAAATGAACACTTGGCCAAACAACTAGGCAGTTCTCACTTACACCCACAGACAATGCCAGAAAAGTTGGCAACATTGCAAACGGAAAACAAACACATCAAGCACACAGCTCATTAGAGAGATTGAATCAAAGTGAACAATAGCAGGCAACAAAACGACGGAGAAAGTATTGACAGTGGATTGCATGGAGATAGATAGATATCGTTGCCAAGTGGTAAGGAGCTTGTCTCGTAATCTTGCAACGCGGGTTCGAATCCGCGTAGGTGCGGGCGTCCCCGCGGTATACTCAGCCCGCGTGCAACTGTGGTGGTCGCATGGTAGCGAAGCGTCGTTACGGCGTACAGCTGAGACATTAGTAGTATTATTGTTGTTATCGCTGCGTGAGTAAAATAAATATACCAAGGGGATCAGCGACTGCTCTTCGTGCAAACGGCACTCAAGGGCAGTTAAATTAATCGAAGACTACGCATGACAACCGATTCGCAAGTGGCTTTGCAAACCTGAGTAACCAATGAAGTTGGTGCGCTTAGTGAAAAAAGTGACAATCAGCATAGCGGGAAACCGCGCGGAATCCCATGCAACGCACCCTGCAACCTATGTATGCAGAGGAACTATAAGAGGTAGCGATGTCATAATCAAAACAACGGTGGACTGACGAATGGGCACATTGATAAGCAGTCTACCCAACGAAACAACTCATCTAGGTCAACTGCCCAGAAAGGGTGCAAGCAACAGTCGGAATAACTCCCTCTGTTAATTTCCCTTGTGCCATCGCCTAAAAATCGGTTAAACAACCAACGGCCTTATGCAACTGGGTGCACTGCCTACAAACACGCAAAACTAGGCGGTCAATGGGCACACGAAAGAGACGACCAGATCAACGCAGGTGGGAGAGAAAGGCAAATGCGGCACCGAACATCAGGCATCGTATGCCACTATACACGTGAACATGTATCAGCATCGCTATGCTCTCGGTATGCAATGGCCATATCTCACTGCTGCATAGAGTAACGCCAGTAGACGTGAATTGTTGCAGTTAGACTTCTGAACGATAGTCGGATACGTATCTCACATAAGAACGGCAGTTTACCTACAGTATGAATAGATTAAGACTGTCAAATCCACGAGGACAATACGTGTAGGAAGAAAAGTACCATAGATTTCTGTATGTGATGTTTTTTTAGAATTGGAGGAGGGGGCAAGTAGATGCAATCTGTACCAAAGCGGTTATCAGCCACATCCAATTTATGTGCGTAAATTCATTAGAATAGGTGGAAAAAGGACAAAATGGAAGAAAGGCAGCAATCATGACCAACATCAGCTACTGCAGAGGACGCGTCTGACACCCATCAGAGAGTAGACAGCGTCCTATATTGACAGATCTGATGAGGGTCGTCAAGATTGTGAGTTACAAAAACACGTATGAGTTAGGGTATAACGCAATAGTACCATTTAGAAGTACATGTTGTCTCCAACTGTTTAGCGTAGAATTATGAAATAAGCTAGAAGGAACAGCCAGAGACATTGGAGCTACAAATGGTCACTGACCGGTTAAGCTTACACACGAAACGCAGGGGTAAGAAAGCAGGGAGAAAAATGGATACCGCCGACGGAGACCTACGGAAAGTCGATAATGTTCAACCGTCTAGCCCAAGTAACGGGTTTGGTTTGAGACCTCTAGTCCAAAGATTTTGATGCAATAAACTGATTCATAAACTGGCAAAGAACGGTTTCGGCCGCAGACCGTGAGCGCAGTTATGCCAGGTATTAGAATGTTTGCGATATTCAAAACGAGGTTTGCAACTACATTAAGTTATTTGAAATAAATGAAAATATGCATAGCTCGGGATGTGGATGCGGATTTTGGGCGGTTCTCCGAGCTGACTGATTATTGTGCAGACGTTTCGTTGCTTGACTAGGCAACATCATCAGTGCGGTTTCAGGGGCCTGTTCTGCTTTGAATGCATTCAAAGCAGAACTCGATCAATAAGCACTTGGACATTGAAGTCGCTTACGAGGCACTGCGAAACAGGCCCCTGAAACCGCACTGATGATGTTGCCTAGTCAGGCAACGAAACGTCTGCACAATAATCAGTCAGCTCGGAGAACCGCCCAAAATCTACATTAAGTTATACCATCAACAACGATGGAAGACAAGTGAGAAGTGATGGATTTGTATCCTACGATCAGGAGTAACCTGGTTTTAATCGAAAGGTATTTATTCAGTTGAGAAAATTGGTACACCTAAGTCGGCAGACCCAAGCCGTGACGGTCGTCATGTACGAAAACATGTGTACTTCACACGCCTGCTTTAGTGAGATGCCGCGTTTACGGCTGCAACCGAACGACAGTATGTAGTGGGTGACAAGACGAAAAGCGTGTATCTGTGGTATAAGGGTCCAAGTCGTAATCTTACAAGGGAGGCGATGAAACGAATAATCGGTGGGCTGCGCACCGAAAATTGAAACAATGAATGTAAAAATGAGATGGCAAAGAAAAGGAAAAACACTGTGACGAAATCCCTAATGAGTCAACGCGGTAGCTAGGCAGTCTGACATATCTACAGCAATATGGGTGGGTAGTGGTGGGCTTCATGCTGATAAAAAGCTGACTGTAAAGCATAAGAAATCGAACGATACATGTGGGTGAACAGGTTAACGAAATTCGAGAGCAGTAAAGTCAAATTCAGTAAAATGGTAGGAAGTAAAGAGAGGCATTCTGCTGACTCACGCTGAAGTTGTTTTGTTGGCAATGTGACTTGGATCCGGAACTGGGTCGGTCATCAAAGCTTGGGCTAAGACAAAACACAATATGATAAGGTGCACCGACAAACAACGGAGCATGATCGTTGATATCTAATAGATGCACTCGGACTGTGGTCCGACCAATCCGGTGGTGCATATCTCTCACAAGTATGTGTAATGTGAGATGAGGTGTGACTTCACGATCCAAGACGCAATCAGGTTGGTCGCCGGTAGCCAACACGGCGCCAGTTGAACGATCCACAGTGACTCCACAAGAAGGAGTCAAGACAACAAATCTAAAAAGAAAAACGAAATGTTTAGAGGATTTTAAGAGTTAGATATAGAGGATGTAGAATAACGAAGCCAAAAACGCGGCTTAAGCTCACTTGTGAATGGCACCAACAGGAGCGTCTCGAACGGAAAGTTGACCAAGAAAGAGCGGTTCGTTACCATTGTAATGCTCCGGAAAACTGACGTCAAGTCCGTCCTCCGGATCAACAATTAACGTGTGACCCGGCCCGCGAAGGTCAGGTGAAATTTGTGCAAACACAGTGACATTAGCACGGGTGACATGTGGGTGTGGCAAGTGGGTATCAAATGCCTCGACGACCAACAAGTAGGTCCGTTCCACAAACAATGAATGCAGGTTGAGTAAAGAAGAATTTGGAGCGACAAGTAGGCGTCCCGTGTGGGAATCCACAGTGAAATAAGTAGACCAAACGTTGTCCGCCAACCGGTAAGATACCTAGAGTGAGAGATGTTGAGAAACCATTTCAGTACTTGCATAAACTATGAAGGCTAGGTAAAATAACTTCTCTGGTCAACTACGACTTTAGCAATTATTAAAAGAGGACTGGTAGTTCTAAGACGATCAACTAACTCATCGTGGTGAAGATGTCACTCGAATCGAGCCACCGAAGATGTCAAGAAAACGAAGCAGAGACCGAGGAGAGTTGTTGGGGGCAAAATAAGGGTAAAGAGCCTTGTAGGTTTACAGCCGGAAAACTAGACATGGAACCAATACATAGAATATAGGAAGTTCGATTTCGGGTAAAATCCCCCTTTATAGTGTATCCCGAGGGGAAACGTAAGCGGTAGGCGAAAGTAGACAGATGTTAAGTGCATAAAAAAGCTAAAAGTGCAAGGTTCATTTGGGTTTATTCGACAAATTAAATAGAACTCATGACGGGTGCCAAGAAATGGAGTGTTAAACGCAGGTAACAATGATAAGATGGGATCTGATTTCTATTGTTCGACTGCTGACATAGTAGCTGAATTAGATAGAGATGGTTTTTTGGATGGGAAGATTCGGTCTTGTCAATGTGATAACGTTTCAGTGATAGTAAGCAAACGTGTTTCCAGGTGATGATTTAGTGACAATGGGGGATAACATAGAAATGCAAAAAATATTTTGTTTCTTGTGTTTAGCACTTAAAGCACATTATTTTGTACACATCGTGAATAACGGTTAAGTTTGTCAATAAAGAATTAACTCCCATACTATCGTATATATGCAGCTGAAATCCCCGAAACAAATGCAACCACTTGTAAGCTCGGGAGATTAGTCGAAAAAAAACAAGTTAACAACTCCACAGCCTAAGATTCGTGTATATTATGGGTGTGATTATCAGATTATTCCATTTGAACAGATAGAAGTCTTGCTCCAATCCATAGTGAAGTACAAAGATATAAGTAATAAAATCATCGCATCGGTGTAGTGAAGAGGTAAATGGCAACGTGCGCAGGCAGAAGGAACCGCGAAAACCAGTGACACAGCAAGTGAGGATCAGTTCGGTTAAAAAATTCTTATCCGGGAAACGAACTGCGGTGAATCCAGTGGCCACAACTCACTTTGATAGGATAGTAATAATAATAATAATAATAAGAGGCAAGGATGACAAAATGAAGCTGGACGTAAACAGAATATGAGAAAATGCAGTTAGGGAGAAATGGTATAAGACTAACCAGGATGAAGTGAAAATTAACCGTTAGATGCAAGAAACCGAATGCAGTAACACCACTGACTGCGTGACTGCGCCATGTCCGGTAGAATATCCAAGCATTGGTGCCCCCATCCACGAAGACGGTATTCAACAGCGTGACTAAGACTCTAGGTCAATTTCTTCATGCATTTGTGCCAAACCATCGACTGGTCACCTCGCGATTTCACCTAAATTGGTGCAGCCACGGCGTCTAATGCACGATGAGGAAACAAATCAACGAGAATACGTAGGACGTGGCCTAACCAACGTAGGCGATTAAGAACAACAGAGTGAGGCAGCAGAAGCCTCCTTGCCAAAAACCAACCGGCGGACCTCAGCATTGCTCACCCGGTGTTCCCATCAGAGGTGAGCAATACTCCGCAAGCACCGGTTGTCAAACACGGCCAAGTGTTTAATGTCTTCATTATGAACATATCGCAGCGTTATACACCCTATCAGTCACTGATAGGCTGACATCCCGCCGTCTCCATAGATGACTGAGCCACATCGTCCCAGCTCATATACGAAGTAGCCTATTCAGTAAGGTGACTACTACCAGAGTTGGCAAAGTGATCAAAATAAGTGAAGCGATCCATCACTTCCAGTCACCGCTGGTGAAAAGATAAAATCGGTGCCACTTATCCAGTCCTGTAACCACACCTTGCACTTGGAAGAGGCAAAGTACATGCCGAAGCGTGCAGCGCTAGACACCACTCTGTTCAATAAAGTTTGCATAGCCACTGAGTCAGACCTAAGGAGATATGTTGGCCCGTACACACAAGGTTTGTCAGTATGTCACCTGGCAGAACTTCCACTCCGGTAGATTTTGAAAGAACCGAGTCATTTATGATCACTGCAGTCACAAAGTTGAACAAAAAGAAAGACAGGACAACTTGGTTTTGGGGGACTCAGAAGGCAGTTACACACAGATATATTTCCGGCTTCGGAGCACCGAGAAGAGACTTCCGAATGGAAACGAGTTTTCCAGCAACTCCCTTCACGGAGTAGTGCCACAAATTAGCACAATCCACAGACTTGAAGGCGGATTCCGGGTCAACGAAAACCACCATAGTCAATCGTCTGTAGATGTGTATGTTCTCGAACACGGCGAATAGTAGATATGTGGTCCACTCCAAAACGACCAGATCACAAGCGAACTTAATCTTCAGTGATTCGATTCACTAGAGGACAGGTAAGTAATCGAGGAATGATTCGCGTGAGAAGCTTGGGGCCAAATGAAAGAAGGCTAGTGTTTCGATCGTATTCACAAAAAGTTCGCTGACTCTTTTCAAGATCGGTAAGGCACTTGTAAGTAGCCAATCTGAAGGCACTTATTCAGCGTCAGTAACAGTGTCGAATAGAGAAATAAGTCTAGCCTCCAGCAAGGAGGAATTTGGAATACCACCAAGCTACGATGGCTGGGCCACGTATTTCGTATGTCAGCAACCCAACTTTCGTGACATGCTTTGTTTGCAAGACCAGAGTCTGGATGGAAGAAGAAGAAAAGGGCAAGCCAAGCGATGCGTTGGTCAAGAGGAATGAAGTCCCTCAGTTCGAAGTTGACGTCTCCCCAATGCCAGGCGGGAGTCCGAAAGACGATGAAGACGTTTGGTTAGATACACTAGTTGAATGGCCAAGAGCCGACCTCAGCAGCATGTATTGTGAGTTTCTCCGTCCCTCTCCTTCCCACTTAGCCTCTCCCTCCAAAAAACAATTTCATACTGCATGGATAATAGCACACACACGCGCTCATGCTACACACCACCGTTCTCCATCAATTCGAAGACCGTATACAACGCAGACCATGTGAATAAATGCCCAATGAAACTTGTTCTCGTGATTCGATCAAAAGGATCAATGTCTCAGAACCAAGTAGGGCATAAAATAGGCGGTGAAAACATGGACCAGTTGCGGCGATTCCAAACAGCGGTAGGTGCACCAAAGTCGTTCAACAATGGCAATTGGCCGGCTAATTTCGCATGATTTTGACGAATTAATGACTGCGTATTAAAGCAAGGAGTGAGAAGCAAAAGGCAACAACAATAAGAACAGCCGCACATCAGCCATTTGAAATAATGCGTCGCTGCCGCCCACACCAAAGACCTAGAAGAATAATAATAAGAAAGACGTAGTGCAGAACTTAAGAGTTCTCAGTAAACATTCAGCGCCAAGGCGCCTACACCTAGTGTCAACAACATACCGTCACAAACAGCTGACTCTGTAGTGGGAAGATAAGGTGGCATCAACGAGACAGCTTACTCGAAGCTTTCACTGTCCCGCGTCATAATCAGCCATTATCCCGCAGATAACTCCGTGCTAAACGCAATTTAAACATGTAGACCAACTAGGAGACGACAGCAGACGCCCCACTGGTGCCGGCTGTGAGCTGTCTGTCAAGTCTCGAGCCAAGTACAAGGTGAGTCAAGAGGGTTTCAGCCTGGAAGGCGAGATGGACTAACGACAGCCAGTTTTGTCGTCAGTGACTTCATTTCGGACTGTCAAGTCAACTTTTGCCCATCTCGTGCCTTGCGCCACCCTAAAACTGGCAAAAACAACGCCCTCGGTCAGCGGTGACCGAGTATACGTAGTATGTGCACAAGCGAACACAACCTATTCAGTCACACTTCAACTATTGTACCGGAATACATAAAGATTTAAGAAAAATCAATATACTAACATCATGAAATGCAAAAAAACAGGCAACACACAGCATAGTAAGATATTATGCTTCAAGTGGGAGGTTTTGGCTGGAAGGGGAAGATAACCTAGATGAGGAGGGACAAAAAACACACAAGACAAACACCATTGAGGTCGGCTTTTCGCCATGTCAACTAGTGTGTCTAACCAGAAGTGTCCAACGTCCTTCGAGAGCAAGGCAAGCGCAGTGGGGACACACCAACCGAAGCCAACTTCAAAGTTATAGACTTCATTCCTCTTGACCAAATTATCGCTTGTCCTCCCCGGATCATCATTCATCCACACCCGCGGCACGAAAACGAGGCATGACGCGGGAGTCAGTGTGCTGGCAAGCGCAACACGTGGTCCAGCCGTCGAAACCTGGTGCGTGAAATAACGGTGCTGAGCGGTTCACTCGCTCTTCCTGCATCGAATACACGACGTAGAACACGCTCATTAGTCACGAGGCATTCACACCAAACATGAGCTAAGCTGCGAACGCAGCGATGATCGAACGTAATAAGTCTCTACGTCAGTCGACTTAATAGGTCAGGTTCCGCAACCGCACAACAGGGTTGAACGGACGACTGCACTGCAAACTCTGTCTTTCAGGTTACTGGTTGGAAGCAGCAAGAAGAGATATCTATTTGTGGCTGCATCTAATGTCACTCAGGGTCAAAGACACGTTATTTTGGGTGCGCTCGACATATTTTATATCGGCAAAGTTTTTGTCTAGGAATATCTTAAATTCCGACGCCGAATTTGCCTCAACTACGTGCTGCGGCAGGTCGTTCCATACATGCACCCATCTGCGTTTGAAACAGAGTTGGTGAGCGACCCGCATCAAATCCGGTACTAAAAGCTTGTACCGGTGTCCTCGTGTGTTGCTTGATGTGCGCAGCGGCCTCAACATGGGGTACTCACACAGATGTAATACCCGGTGCGTCACGATGAGGTCAACCCGCAGTCGACAATAAGCTAGGGTGTAAGGCCCTGGTTTTTTACACCGGTCTTCGTTACGCACACCTCATAAATTGGAAAACAGCGTGGTGGCCACATGCTGCACTCGCTCAATCCTATCTACATCGCCCCAGATGATAAGACTATACGCGGGAGAACCATACTCTAGTATTGATCGTACTAGTGAGACAAAGCGGCCAGTGACAATCTCTTCGGATCAAGTGCTGAAGCTGCGTCTGAGCGCCCAAAGAATATGAAGGCCGTTCCCGTAAATCTTATTCATGTCGTCCATGGAGTTTAAATTGTAGCGTGCGAGTACACCGAAGTCTCGCACGGAAGGCGCGGGATGCAACGGTTAACCGGCGTAGGTTCAACTGTGCTCACTTACCCAGCCTCATGAATTGCGATTTGACCGGGTTGCTCGGAAGGTTGACCTCTGCAGATCACATAGAGAGGCGGTCGAGGTCCTGCTGAAGCCGGTCACAGTCACTGGGTGCGGGGATTACTGTCCCCACCTTCATCATCATCACCATTATACACGTCAGCTAGAGGTGGGAAAAACCTCAACTACTGTGCCGCAATACATAAAAGAAAAGGAAAATAAATACAACAGTTGCATGCCAGCTGAACTACCAGCAACGGATAGGCATTGTTCCGGTAACCTACCAGCCGGCTACTAGGCAAAAAGGAAAAAATATTATGTTTTGCGCTACGAAATGAGATCGTAGATGGAGGGGGAGGGACAAAGAAACTCACAGCACGAACGCCACTGAGGTCGACTCCTTGCCAAGTCAGCAAGTGTATCCAGCTAAACGTGTTCACCGTCTTTTGGACCCCAACCAGGGAATCGTGACGCTCCAACCGAGGCCAGCACAGAAGTGAGGGCCTTCATTCCTCTCGACCAAGTCATCGCTTGGCCACCCTCCTCTTCTTCTATCCACATCCCCGGTGAGCAAACAACGCACGTCGTGGAAGTCGATGGGCTGGCATGCGCAACACGTGGCCGAGCCATCGGAGCCTGGTGCGTGAAATGACGGTGCTGAGCGGTTCAGTTCCTTTTTCTGCGCCGTAAGCAAGGCGTCGAACATGCTCGGTACTAACGCGGTGTTCCCACCAGATGTGAGCCAAACTGCGAAGGCACCGATAGTTGAACGTAACTAGCCTCTTCATGTCCGCCGATTTTAGGGGCCAGGTTTCGCAACCGTACAGTAAAGTCGAACGTACCGCTGCACTGTTCACTCTACCCTTCAGGGCGAGAGTAATGTCGCGCCGCCGCCATGGGTGGCGAAGGTTAGCAAAAGCACTTCGAACTTATGCTATACAGATCGTGATCTCGTCTTCGATCCCAAGGGCGCTGATACAACTTCTTAGGTAGTTGAATTTCCGAACGACTTCTAGCTGATCCCCACCAAGGGTCAGCGAAGGAGGCGATCCCTGCCAATCTTGGAGGAACGCTTTATACTTCGACGGTGCAAAGCAAGCCCGAAGCGGCTAATCTGTCCAGCGCGGCTTGGCACGTCTGGAAGCTGTCACCGATGAGGGCAATGTCGTCTGCAAACTCCAAGTCAAGAAGTCGTTCTCCTGGGAGTAGCTCCAAACCTTCCAAGTCATGTCCTGTAAATGCAATCTCCATAGCTTCGTCAATAGCAAAGTTGAAGAGGAAAGGTGATAACGGGCATCCTTGTCTCACACTGCTGGAGATATTGAAGGGTGACGACAGCTTGCCGTAAGCTCTCACTCTGCCCGTGCTACGCGCGTATAATGCTTGGATAATATTTACATCTTTCTCGGGCACACCTTTCCTGAGTAGACAATTCCGAAGGGCACATCGATCAATCGAATCGAAGGCACCTTTGATGTCGAGGAACACGACTGTGGCGGAAGGCCGATAAATATGGCGGTGCTCCAACGACTGACGTAATGTGAAGATGTGATCAATACAGCCGCGACTGCGACGAAACCCGGCGTGCTCTTCCCAAGTCTGATTTCCACGGCTGTCAAAAAGTCTATGGGGAATGACAGAGGGAAGTATCTTGGAGGCAACTGAGATCAGACTGATTCCTCTATGACTGTCGCATTCGGAACGTGAGCCCCCTTGAAAATTGGGACTAGTACAGAGCGGCTCCAGTCTGTTGGGACATCGCCCCGCTCCCACGGCGTCAATAGTAAATTGTGCAAATCGTCGACAAGAGCAGGTCCTCCGAATCTGAAGAGAGCTAGAAAAATTCAATCCGATCCTGCGCACTTACACAATTTCAACAATCGGATCTCACACTCGACTTCTGGGTGTGAAGTTGGGTTTAAGGGGACGGCCTAGCGAAAATGGCGATCAATGGCCGATGGAGATGCTGGTAACTGCGGTTGATTAGACAGCTTTTCAAAGTGTTCGGTCCAACGCCCCAAGCGTTTCGACAAATTGTGGATTGGCCGTCTACCCTCATCACGTATAGTCTCAGTAACATCAGGTCTCCTTCCGCCAATTTCAAGTATCAGACGAAATAACCCGATGGTTACCAAGGACAGCGGCCACTTGCGTCTTCGACGAACGATGAGACCACCAGGCTTCATGATCTTCCTTCAGACCAGCACCCAGTTTTGCCCTGAGGTCTTTGCGAGTCTCGTATTCGCTCTCAACCGGAATGTGTCGGCGACCATCCAAAAGTTCCAGAGAATGCACCGAGACCCAGTGTCCACGTTGTTAATTTGATTTGTCAAATGAAGACACGCCTGCTGCCAAGGACGTCTGGTGAATATGCGACCAGAGTCCTTCTACTCTGATCAAAGAGCGCTTACTCAGTATGGATGCCAGCGTACACTGATACATATTCAGAACATCTGAGTTCGCCAGCTGGCATGTATCTATGTGCGCACCACCTCGCCACATGCGCCCACAGAAGCGAACTGTAAGATCGGCACAAACGAGTGCGTGATCAGAGTCCACGTTCGTGCTCCATATTAAGGGACAGTTTTGGGCACAGTGTCTCCAGCGGTAACTGATCGCGAAGTGGTCGATTTGCGTCCAGACCTGGTTTGAGACGTGCGGGCGCCATATCACACTTCTGTGGGTGCTGTGTCGGAAGTTAGTGCTCGAGAGAAATAGTAACCGCTCATCGTTATCAATACGGCAGCCTACATGGCGTTGGTCGTCCAGACGCAGCTCATCAATGGACAGCCTACCAAGTTGGGCGTTCAGATCGATAGCAACCACCACAGTATCAGTAATTTTCTGTTACGCGCGTTCAGTTGTTGACGGAGGCCATCTTTCACCGAATCTGAAATAAAAATAGGCACCGTTTGCATGCGCGTGACTTCGATGCTTTGAACGAGCCAAATAATCTGACAGCGCACATCCGGATATTGACTGAGCGCCAATCGATCAAGGTGGTTTCAGCCCGGGGACTCAAAGCAATGCCAACACCAGCTTGACCGAAATTCGAAACTGTTTCAACTCCAGACAAACGTAGTGAAATGGTGTCGAAACATCGCGTTTGGGGGGTTGAAGGACGAGAGCATAGCTCGAAGCTCGCAGGTGAGTTACCGAGAGAGAACAGATATTGATCGGCAGGATCTCTGGTGTTTTGGTAACTGCTGCCTGTTGGCTAATCCATAGCATAATGCGCTGGTTGAGGCGTGCCAGTCTTAGCGAGGACTGATGAACTGACGTGTCCGCTTGATTGGACATGAACTTGTCGACTGGATCGGAGCGACGCCCAGTGATTGTGTGTGAGTTGAAACTAGGAGACAAGCGACTATGGAAGCAACATGGGGAAGCCACGCATTGGGGGGTTGAAAACAGGTGGATAAAAATGAAATTGGAACGGGACGATAAGGATGAAAAAGCGCGAGGGGGATAAGAATAAGGGAAGGTGTAAACGGTAGCATCCTAACTTCTATCCACCGTGCTTGATGCAGCAGCTAGGGTCAGAGCATCAAGAAGTTGTTTGAACGTATCAATATCACCAGTATACACCGAATCGCAATGGAAGCTACAACATTAGTCCACAGTGACATTTAGACATACTGACCAAATGAATGGACCGGTTGTTGAGAACGTCAATGCCTCACCAAAAGATCGACGAGGGAATGTACTTCAGGACAGCTAGTTCGTTCATAGACGCTCTGCCACCGGAAACTTGCCCACGTGTAAGGTGCATTCAGTTACATGGAGGTCAAGTTGTAGAAAATGCGAGCCTAGTTTAGTTATTTCCGTATAGAGAGGAGGCTTTCATATCTGCAATTTTTATCGCATGGGGAGTTCACTTGCGGTCCACATGCGGCAGGTTCATGCTAGGAGAACAACACGTCATGATCAGTGAATGGAAGAGGGAAGCAAAAGCAGAAAAGCACTGCCCTAGAAATCGCAGTGACAATGCACATTAAGATGAAGAGGTACCTGAATGCGAATCGGCTGGATCGGGAGCAATCTAAATGCAGTGCTTGAATGGACCGTCATACGGAAAAAACTGCATCGTTTCATCAGTCGAGAAAAAGAGGCCGAAATATGTGCGCCTGTTTCAACTACTGCAGGCAGTTTGCCGTGAGTTAACACGACCCGTGGACTCTCGCTAGAGGTATGATCACAGAGTTCACGAACTCTAGCAGGGGAAGCAAAGTCGGACTGTACAATAATTGATTTTAATATTCAACGCCTCCAGTGGACGCATAGGGTACTTAGATAGTAGTTTCAATGCCTAAACGAACTTGCAAACTGATGTTTCAGAGTGAAAAACACCTTTCCTAAAAGTGAAGCTGTAGGTAACCGTGGACGTAGCGAGAAATCGCAGCATGTAAATTTACTTATGATTGGGATTAGGAAATAAAAAAGCAAATAGAGTGGCAGTAGAAAAAGGACAGTAAACAGTAAAAAAGCGAACAATATTTAGAACACGTAGCTAGCAGTCAAACAGAGAAATGACTCACATGGCACAAACCGTGACTTACTGAGTCATTCACGTCGGGATCAACCGCCTGCAGTTGTGCGATCAATTCAGAGGGATAGGTGGGTAGTATAAGAGTTGAAGTGTAAAATAATTCGCTGAAAATTGGCGGACAATCGTTCACATCCAGAACCTCTACCTCGATACGGATCAAACTGTTAGCGGTGAGAGGAGGTGAACCAGAGTCCGAGACCTGAAGCGTCAGCTGATAGTGCGACATTGATTCACGATCCAAAGACGCACTGGTGCTTAAACGGAGTAGTCCATTAGCGTGATCGATGGAGAATATTGAAAATACGTCTTCAGTGTACGGTTCAATTAATTCGTACTTGATACGACCATTCAAACCCAGATCAGGATCAAAGGCATAAAAGTGAACTGGACTGCGCTGCAAACTACTACTCCCGATGGGTACCTCGGTACAAGATTGTAAGACCAGGGATCCCGGTTGTGCATCCTCGAAGACACAACCTCTAATGTACCGCGGTGATAAAATGGCGGGAGGATTGTCGTTCACATCCAAAATCTGGATCTGGATCAAATGGTTGAGATGGAATAGGATCAAATAGTACACACATGCAAGCTATACAAGACACGAAGGTAAGAAAAGTGGTGGATGGAACCATCGATTAGAAATCATATAATTCCATGAAAGTAGCAACACCTTACTAACAAGTATGCATAATCTGTGCCAAAGTACATCCTATTAGGGAACGCAAGCGAGCATGACTACGTTGGAAGACGAAAGAGCGTAGTGGAAAGTGTGTTTGTGCTGAAGTGGATACTTTGGAATGGATTTTTGTCTCGTATAGCGCTAGGCACATTGCGAACCCGTTTCTAAGATTTAGTGACCTTAGTGAAAGATGCAAGAACGCAGAGAAAAGGGGGTGCAACAAAATTGGGTGCTGAACTGAGTTCTCTTAAACGAAAAAGGCGTCGAAGTTTCCTACCATTTTTTACAAAACCGGTCTAACTGTCACACTTTAAGATCGTGAGTGTTGCAGCTGGTCAGTAACCTTCAGAGTGGTAAACTCAAAGTACTACAATGAAAGAGTCTGAACCGGAAAAACCAACAGCATACCGAGTAAAGTCGTTTGAAAACTCACCTCGACAACTAAATAATCGCGTACTCTCCTCCGGATACCATGTGCTCCGCGCACCTGCACAAGAAGACGATGAAAGTCCCCATGTTGTTCCCTATCCAAACGAACCGCTGTGACCAGGAATCCAGTGCTGGATGCCACTTGAAACAGGTCGAGATCGGAAGTCGCTTGAGATTGGATACCATGTTGGGTTAGGCCTTGCATGTCGAATGTGCCAACTGGCTCACTGCTAATGAGGTCAAACTGTATGAATCCATAAACTGCCGACTCAGGAGTCAAAAAGTGACCAAGGGATGCAATAATATATCCAGGAGGCAGATTCTCATTGACAGTAAAATGCACCACATGACGAGAAGTAAACTCAGGTGGTGGGGCATCGATATCACCGGGTCCAGGGACTATACGAACAATCACTTGAGTGTGGTTACTTCTAGAAACGTATTTGTTGTTGTCTGTGGCAGATACCAAAATGCGATGCTCGGGAGACCACGAAGTACGCACTCGTCTGGGTTGTGGACCAGATAGAAAAGTGTCCGAGTCATGATGAGGCAACAAGGATTTAGTCAAGCGCAACTCCCCAGTCATCGGATCGATCGAAAAGTAGTCAACAGTATCTCCTTGAAGAAAAAAAACAGGAATGAAAATTCCTATAGAATAGATGATTCCGCTATTCCAAATCATAGCGCTCATTATGATCAACAGTACTGAAACTTATCTGGAGTATTCTGTTAGTATCGTGTTAGGATGTCACGAAAGCATGGCTAAGGTGAAAAAAACAGGCTGCTGGACACAGCTTCTCGAAATGGAGAACACAACCGACCGACAGTATGAAGTCAAAATGAGATGGAAGCGAATGGAGAAATAACGCGGTAAAAGAAGTCACTTGTGAGGTGGGAATGTGGTGGCCAGTCAGCGGCCTTACTCGACTTAGAAGCTATTGTCCAGGAAGCTATACTGACAGAGAAAATACTTGCCGAAGAACCGCATCAGCCTAACAGGGACATGGAATCCAACCCCAATAAGAAGTTCCAAGGAGACATGCGTGCAGAATACAGTGGGTGACGTGCAACACTCGTGCGTTGGAGTGCAAAAATCCAATGAAATATGACTTTGTGAAACTTCGCAAAAAATCAGTCGTTTTTGGTCATCAAGGTTAATGGCGAGTTTTGATGAATCTATATTCCGGTATGTTATACGAACCCTGCAACATCGGCTGTCTATCTAGGCAATCAATTTCGAATATCTTAAACATTTCCAACCTGCAATCCGATTGTAAAAAATGTTACTAACATTACGGAGAAACAGTTTTGACCCTACTCAACCCCCATAAACTTGTGATCGATGGATTGCTATCTAGTAATTGCATGACGTAACTGTTAGGTGTGCATCATGAAAAGGAAGATTATTTAAAGGAGTGAGCAGCTTGTTAAGACACTCGTAGTGATTTGAAAAGGATGAAATCTAATTGGAATGCACCGAATACAAATGGGATAAAAGAGAACCCACCACCAATAAGAGAATAGGTGATACACCCAGTGTCAGAGTGATCGAGGTCGATGGCAGTAACTCGACCTACGACGGTGCCGACGGAGGCGGTGCCAGAAGTGTAAAAAACCAAATGATCATTAGCAGGCACAATCTTTGAGGTATTAGTGAGTGGGACCGGAAAGCCCACAAAGAGCGGAGCGTATTCGTTGATGTCGGAAACATTGATGAAAACTTGGACGAAGCACGATAGCGTGGGTCTCTGCGCGTCGCGAACAGCAATCAGCAGACTATGCCAAGCCACTGACTCGTGATCAAGAGGACGTGCGATGCGGAGTTCACCTAAAGCAAAAGACGGATGCTGGTTAGCAGAAGTGTAAACATACAAAAAATAAGGCTGAATAAGTGGAAGAAGAAGAAGGTAAGCCAATAGCTATGTGAATGGCAAAGAGATCACCAATGGGTCTGAGAAAAGCCAGTACTCATTAGAGGTTAGGGAAATTCACCGGTGAACAGGCTGGCGGTTGTGAAACACGGCAAGATCAGCATTGGGAGAAAAAACGAGATAGCAGCATACCGGAAAATTGTAAGGTGTGAAGCAGAAAAAAGGAGTTGGGGATCAAAGTAAGGCCCCAAAGTAACGCGGTCTACCCAGGTGGTATCCATGATATGATTAGAAATAGCGGAAAAGATTGTAATGAGGTAGACAGTAGCATAGAGGTACACAAAAGTGTTGACGAGCTCCTCGACGATATACAGAAAAATCCGAAACAAAACAAAGAATGGTTAATGCAAAATAAGAAAGAATGCGGTGGAACAAGAAGGGCCCGAAATTTGGGCCAATCCCACAAACACAAAGCATTTTAAGAGAGAGAAAATATCAAAGAGGTAGGCAGAATGAAACACTCGGTTAGGACTACGAAGAAGTAGTACAATAAGAGCAATGTGTGCCGGAAAAGGAAACATTCACCATAAGTTACAAAGAAAGGTCTATACGTGAGATGTGAAGCAGTAGTTTGATTATAGAACAATAAAGTGGAATTAAGTAATTTGCTAAGTTAAAGAGAGACGTTCACGTAAAGCAACAAGTAGTCGGTTGGGGTCCGTGATGCCAAATGATTTGATTTCTGTGTGCATCAGAAGCAGAAGTTGACAAAGTATTTAGTAACAGCTGATAATGTGGCATTTACAATCTTCGTACAAAAGATCTATGACCAGCAAACATAATGATCAGTTGGAAATAACGGAATACCGCGTGTTCGAAAAGCAGCCGGCTGCGGTGGTTGAACTTCGTGCTGTGCGTGTCCCGGAGGGAGAAGGCGTATCGCTCTTGAGGAAGTGGACGATTAAGTGTCATGAAATCAGTGTAGTTGTCAAGTCGTACAGGCTGATTATAGTAGATATCCCAATTCTATCGGCTAACTGCACCGAGTGCAGCAGAAAGCACACAGAAAATGAAAGGTAGCTATCATATAAAAAATTATGTTACGATAGGCTGTTTGCAAGTATGATGACGCTAAAGTGACTGTCAAAGAAGCAATGTGGTCAACGCGACAAAAATTAGAGAAGAATTTGGCCGAATCGACTCACGAGAATCAATGCGTCGCTGCAGCATGATACACGGGGAAATTCGGATAGGTAGGTGGAATGCCGTGAAGCGACGGAAGTCCAGCATTTTGTACATTCGATCAGGTACTGTGTCCAGTAGCGCAAGAGGGCCGAAACAAGGTTACAAATGGATCAGGGATTTCCACTAAGCCAAGAGACCATGTGTGGTGACACCACACGTAAGGAAAAGTCGGAGCAACTCTCATTAATATAGAAATGTCTTTGATGTGATTCCATATGCCGCGAAAGATTGTGGAAAACGTAAATCGTTAAGTCCAACAAAACAAGTGGATTTTGCCAAAGCTATCCCACTATCCATTTCCTCTCCACTTGTGGTCGGATAGATCAAGAAGGACTACACCCAGTATTCGCACCCTTCAACGTCCTCCACAATGTTCAAAACAAAGGCTAGGTTGGATTATCGACTGATAAACACAGAGCACGTAGAAGATGGAGCTTCCATTGGACCAAACCCTGCTCCCGCACTACCGCAAGCCACTGCAGGTTCAAGCATATACTTCGCGACATTAATATGCAAGGTACTGTTACGAAACTGATATGACACAACACAAACGTTTACAACCCATGAACAACTAGTAAAATTGCTCTCGACAGTCACAGTAACGAACATGCTACTGCATGCGCAAATGAAGATCCGGTGGCAAATCAAAGTCTCAACCATCCAAAACCAGTGTGACTGTCAATCTGACAGATGACTAACGCGCACTGTGGAAAAAAAGTGATTAAGCGCCTTTGAGTACAAATATCTGTAAGGCAGCATTCAAGCCTTATGGAACCATGAACCAGTAACAGCGAAGTTCATCAATTAGCACTTGATAATCCACCCGCTGGTGACGCAATGCATAGGTTGTTCCACACGAAGTTACCACGTCAGCTCAGTCCGATGCTTGTCGACGCTTGTCGACGGAGTGGCACTGAGTACGCTGCATTGTTACAGTCCCCTACCTGAGGTGGTCAGTGGACGAAAGAGCAGAGAGAGAGGAAGGAACACATCGAAAGACAGAGCGGGTTCGGTGCATATCGTCATCAATTGGTCAAAGTTGTTGGTCAAGGCAGCACAGTCGCATAGTCAGCAGTGCTGCGGAATTCGCTTAGCCATTTCATTCCTCTACAACTTACAGTTGGCACATACGCATATGTCACATGGTGTGTATAGAAATTAGACCAGACAAAACAACTGGTGTTAGAAATGAGTTTGATATAGAGGAGCGATAAATGAGTAGTTACCATAAATGCGTAATCCAATTAGTGATACTGTCGAGGAGGTACATTTGGACCCAGTTTCCTTAGAAATGGGATAGTCCGTACACATTCGCGAAACCAAATTCGATAGGTAAGGACGTTTCCGGGAAAACGGCGCATAAAAGGTGCGTCTAACCCTCAGTGGTATCATTAATGTTAATATTTCTATGGCTAACTATAACCACCACGATGTGAAGCAACTAGCCTTAGAAAGCGAATCTGCTTAGCTGCATCCAAGAGGCATTCGGCTTAGATAGACGTAACATATTAGTATCCGAGTCCGTCGAAAGACAGACACTAGCCAAGAGTATCTGGAAGTACGAGTGATAGTGGTAAGTGCTATTTAATGGAGTGTGTGCATGACACGTGAGGTGATTGCCAGATAAATTGAGAGCTAATTACACAGGAAATGGCCTGATTAGTGGCGAAAACTGTTTCGCCTTCTCAGAAAACTCCGTTTCAGAAAAAAGGAGTCTACGCGAAGAGAACTGATGAGTAAAGGGAATGACAATAAACGAAATTCATCAACCTATCTGACGACCATAAGGTAGATGATACATGCACCGGAATAGTGGATCGAATCTGAGCAAAAGCACTGGGGATCTAAACTTAAAGTGAGCCAGCCAAAGTGTACTTCAACAATCATTCAAAAATAAGTTTAGACATGAGATACATGGGAAAACCATCACCTGTATGGTTGTTCAGGCTGAATGAGAAACGCGTGGCAACCTGACCAACCGAGACAACTGTGTACTCCAGGGTCGACCGTCCCTCAAAGTAGGTGTGTGTGCGTGCAACAAGCTGGCACACAAGGCTACCAACCAACACAGATTCATTGAGCCCAATGAACACCTTCAGACTTGTGGAACCAGGCGTCTGTGTCACTGATATTTGGCCCGCAGAATGTTTACCAAACTCTTTGGGTAAGAATTTGGGTCCGAAGATGTCAAGAGCTTTGATGGAAATGGTGATCTGAAACGCAGGAGATAAGAAAGCCGATAAAATGAGCATTAGATAGTACAAGAGGCCCTAGCAAAGAGTAGGAAACACAATCGCTAACGTCGCCAACAACAACATGATACTGAAATACTAAGCATAAAAGGAAAAAACAGTAGTTCAATCGAGGGAGCGACAGCTTGGCAAGTGTAGTGCATGCTCCCCTTTTAGAAGATGGAAGAGCTCGTAGAGGCCTTTCTGTCCAAAGTGCATAAATTAACCGATAACACTTGACACGAATAGTAAAGGATTGCTGTTGGATACTATAAACACAAAAGCAAATTCCAGTTCAGTTGACGCACAAAACAACGTCGGGGTGATGCTCGCACAGTGTCACAACGATAACAATCAATAAAAATGGGATACATTCAAGAGGCGTACAAAAAAGTGGGCCGAGTGAAAGAATTAAGAGTCAGTGGCTAGGGTACGGTTGCACAAATAACATCGAGATAATAGCGGAAAGGAGCTGCGACAGCTGATGTGGCTGAGCATCTTTATATATGCAAAGCAGCATACTTTTCCGGATGTAACTGCCACTAGCACAGTAAGCAGCCTAATGAAGAACAACAGGTTGCCTAGACAGAACCACTCACACATTTCATGTCCAGTGTGAACCCGAAGGAAAAAGACTGGCAGACATGTAGATGAGAGCCCCATGAGTGATTCGAAACCTCAATATGCACATTGTTCAGAAGCGCTAGGAGATATATGCACACCGAAGGTACATGGGACAGTGGCTAGGCCGTAGTCCGTTCCACAAAGGATGGAAACACTCTAACAGTCGAGCATTGTCACCGAGACTGCACAAACCGCGTGCAACCGGAACGATCAACAGCCTCCAGAGTCTTTTAATCGAGATCAGAGTCTTCGATAGGTAGGTACCTTGTCAAAAGTCACAACAAATGCAGTTAGACCGGGGATATAAATCACAAAAATTCCGAAACGCGAGAAGGAAAGCATACAGCCTTACGTTTAGGTCAACAGCAACGATGATACAACGCACGTGCCACATCGTCCGTACTATTGACTTGGATAGTAAGTGAAGTCAGAATCAGCATACGCACCGAGCGCTGATACCAAACGCTTCAAATCACTCATCGCCTCTTTGATATCAGCCCTCGTAGCCGCGTCGATGGATAACCATACCGACTTGGCTGAAGCACACAAGACGGTATGTGCTACCGCATCAGGTGCTTGATGTCAAATGACTAGGCTCCATCCCTTTCTATCGCTTGCATAGCTATTGCTGCTCTTCTTGATACAATAGACTTTTCTGATGCACGTCAACGTCATTGGCATCGATCCACTGCTAACGCCTCCCATCACCTCAAGTCACACTGATAAGACGGCTTCGCATATCGGTACTTCGCTTCTATGCACGCAGTTTGCCATACAGCAAGGGTTTCGGTATGCTGCTCCCACTCTTACGACGGACATGACCGAGCCACCTAAGGTATCACAGTAACGACATGCAATCCATCCCGTACATGCCGCTCGGGCGGATCACTGCAGAGTCAGGAACTACGTCCACGCCAACGGATGTGCAGTACGGGGGCAGGTATTGTTGATAAAATCATTCCAGATGTCAAACGTCCATTTGGTAGCGTCTATGCTTCACTGTCGTAGAGAAGCGCCGTGAATATCATTGACTTGTATACCATCAGTCTGGTCCGAATAGTCAGGTCATTATTCTTTTACACACGTTGCTCCAAGTTTTTAAACGCAGCACTCGCTTTTTGATGAGGTCTCCGAAACTTCACCGGTAATCTCTATCTGTGGGTAATTCAAGGATTCCACCCCTGGTGATGGCTGTAAAAGACAGACGTCCTGAACTTGTCCGCCGTCGAAACGAGAGTCATCGACATATATTGCAACTCATCCTTGCTGAGTAAAAGCGATGCGCAGTCGACAAATAACAGCATCCGGATGGTTGTTTCATGCACTCTGGTTATTGATGGATGGTCAGCGACGCGCCATCGATGCGATGCTCCAGACGGACACCAAAATCACAGGCATTGAAAGCACATACACCAGAGACAACTTCAGTTATCCGAAGTTTGTCCACACAGCTACACATTCTCTCGCATAACGCTGTGTAGGCGTTCAGTAAGACGAACAAACATACCTGAGCAACTAAATACACCCAACACGGACCACAGTGCCTCGCGGTTCCCTATGACAAATACCTTAGTGATGTCGGTGAACAGTGATTACAATGACTGGTTTCTCTCACAGCATATCTGCAACTGATGAGCAGCGAACACCAAGTAAGTGGTATTGTGGACCGAACAGAAGTCACACTACTCTTCAACCATGGTCGGTTCAGTGACCGCGTTAATGACGCGATTGAGCAACATCCGAGCATTCACCTTCCTAACGTAACAGCAAGTTGATGCCACGACAATTGTTGGCGCATCATTTGCCTCTTTTGCTTTGTGCACGTGTAGATCAAGGGCATCCTTCAACTCAGATGGCACCTACTCTTAAAGCCACACGCGTTCCACCAAATGGTGCAGTGCATGTGGCAACGCGGGTCTGTCGTGTTTCAGCAGTTCCACCAGTATTTCGTCGGCTCCGATGAGCTTGCGGTTAGCAGCTGAACAAGTGTTTTCTTCGTTTCCTGGAGTGCCGGAGACTGTCCAAAGTTTGTTGCAGTAGCCCATGAAACAAAATCCAGGTCTAACCAGTAGCGTTGTTACCACAATCAACCTTGCTCGATGAAACACATAGGGCGCCGTTGATTATTCTTTGTGACGGCCATAGCATAAAGAAATTGTGCGGAGGCATTGAATTGTATAGCGTAGTAGAATGCTGACAGGTTGTCCAAGCCCAAAGAGCGGATCGAATATGGTTCTGAACCAAAACCTCTTGTCCAAAAGCTTCGTCGCAAAGCAGTAGGGTTTAGGCATTGTGCTACAGAGGATCAGTTTTATGGCGTGAGGAGCCATCCTCACTCTAAGCGCCCAATCTGGAGGGACAGGACACTGAGTCTGTCTGGTCTCTAACTATTGACCACTACGATATGAGTGGTTCTATAGGTGCAAAAAGCATCACCCTGCATAGACCAATGGATCATTGAGGCATGCAAAGCATCGCACCACGTTAAGGTGTAGTCTCGTCGCGAAGTTGTTTTGAGAAAACTGCGAACGGATCAACCCACAAACACAATGTCGTCAAGGCGAAATATGACGGCGGGAAGGATATCGCCAGAGATTGCTTTGAACCGGCAAGAAAAGAAAAGCATTAAAAGTACGACTGCGCAACGTACCGACGTTTCGCCGCGACGCGACCACCATCAGTTGCGCGTGGACTGGGCATACCGCGAGGTAGCTCGCAACCATGCGGATTCGAACAGACGTTTCATCTCGAAGCTCAATGGCCTAGTGATCAGGACGATAGCCGCTAACCATTGTATGCTGAGATCCACCCAGCTAGGGTACCTCTACTTGATGAGTCAAATCACGATGAAACACGCCGTGGAGTGCAGGGATAAGAGAAAGCAACACCGAAACCATTCAGACACTTGATGTTTCAGCCGCCGGCTGACTCGGAAGGGGGTAAAAATTAGCAACTAGAAATAATCCGACTGATAACTTTAACGTGGACACAACGAACATCTAACAACCAAAGGCAAACATAGGCGATACGCATGACTGGTATGGATTCATCTCTTGGTGGAATTAATACACCATCTTAATTATCCGAGCCCCAGTAAGTGAGATCGCTACCAAGTGTTTAAAGGCTTTCGGCACAAGATACTGTGTTGCAACTAAAGTGGTAGAGTTCCCGCCACAGTGATAGCGGAGAGAGTAAACTTTGAGAGTAGTACATTGACTAGTAGAGGATACCTGTCTACAAAAGAAGATGGTTAAACGAAAATGGCGTATGATTAAACATTGCCACTGTGTTAACATGACAAGAGTTGCGTAATTCGGATATACGATAAAAACCGATCCCTAAAAACTGCCGCCCAAGCACAACAGTAGCGATAAGGGGATGGCGTAATATGGAAAAAGAAAGTCCCCACATTTATACGACGACTTGCCAATTGGGGAATATAGTAAGAACAGTATGTGTATTCATTTGTGGAGGTGTTTCGGTGATGCTGTTCCCAACACTGACACCGCATGACCGGTTGCGTCCTCGACTGGACTCATCAGATGGAGATAGCCTGAGCTGGGGTGGAACTTGGGGTCTAGTGGTTTACGACTGACGCCTTGATCACTATGCCAATAAGATCCATGAGCATTGCTTCGCACAGCGGTAAGGAATTCAAAGTTGGGTTCGGAGTACCTGTAGTGTGGTTAAATTGTTACACGCAATCTCTACTGGAACCTCGGTTCACTTTGAAAAAATTTCAGCCATTCCGCTCAAAAGGACCGTATCCGAATTGAATGTGTTTCGCTGTATCTGATCTAAGTAGAGATTGCGTGTCATAATCCAAACACACGGCGGGTGTACCAAATCTAATTGTGAGTATTTATTGATTTGAGAAAAAATATTTGCAAAGAACAGCTGGGGATATTTTATGCTAATATTCAACGGCGAACTACGGACACCGTGCATCTGTTGCTGTTTTGACGGCATAAGGTTCCGGATTTGCCTGTCACTGTGGTCTCCACGGGGACACTCACAGGACGCCTGTGCCTACAGAGGAACCATGGGTAGCTTGCGCTGCACCACGCACAGCTCTACCCACACACCCCATAACCAGTGTAAACCCGAAGGAATAAGACCGGGAGACACGTGGACAGAAACCACGTTTCATTAACGTAGCCTGCTCACACTTCTTCAGCATGCACAATAGCAGCATTCCTGTCTACCTATGTGGGGAACCATGAGGACCAGAATTGCACAAGGCAGTGGCTAGGCGGCATGGAACCAATCTTTTAGCTTAGCACCGTCATGAGGACCGTGCACTGTCTTCGCAAGCAGCGATTAACAGTTTCCTGAAGCAAGTATAATCGAGACAGCGGTTTATCAACAAATGGGCACCTTGTCGGAATACACGAGGCGTAGCCACAAGATATCAAACAACAGACATAGGATTTGAGGGAAAATAAATATGCGAATTTGATAGGAAATATGCAGCAAACTCATAAATGAACGAGTCAAATAAAGTGGAATACTTAGTGGGTAGCAGGAGGATTTATTTGGTTTAGGTGAAGTTTCGCCACAGCTGGACTCAGACAGATAGACACCACACATTCAGGAAAACGCCAGACGGCCATTTCGTCCTATTGGGACTCGTCAGTAGCGCGCACCCATCGATTCTTGCCGGATTCTAACCCACGACCTTACTCTTACGAGTGAGCAACGTATGCCACTGAGCCATGAGCAACGGCAGCGGACCGCCTGTTACTGGTATCTCTGTTGCAAAGATTTTGGAATTCCAGCACAATAGCTGAGGTGTTTTCCACCTGTAGCTAACGCGCATAATGGTGATGAATGATGAGAAGGTATTGGTGGCTCCCTGTTAGAGCAACTTTCACTTGCGCACGCAAAGTGCAAGTGAGCGAATCTGTGCCAAATCTTACCCAAGTCGAACGTGGTGTACCACAAGGTTCGGTATTAAGGCCTAACCTGTTCTTGATCTTTGTTAAAGATCTACTGAGCTTATTCACTTCAAATTGCTTATTTTTCGCCAACCAGATCAAAGTTTTGGGAGGCAATCAAAGTGGCAGACGACCGCGTATAGTGTAGGACAAGCAAACACTAGTCCGAGACGGTGCGCGTAATTGAGTGCGGATACCAGGCGTTTGAAGTCGAAAACAGTGGACAACATTCGATGGGCTACAAAAAAGATGTGGATGGATGAAGCGAGACGACAGGAGCAAACGTTGGCGTGATAACTTGCAGGGCAGACAAGTGTCGAGCCGGAGGTAGGTAAGGAAGATTATCACGAAGAATAAGAATGCGCAATTGGCCAGCAAGTAAATTGTACGTAAAAGATAATAATTATCTTTTGGGCGCTACAAGGGTTTAAAAAAACATCGACAGGGTTTATGGAATTGCGTTCAGTTCAACGCAACTGAATTTCGACCGCTATATTTACGCCCCCAATGATGCACACCTATAAGCTGAGCAACCGGGCCGGAGCAGTCCGACGTAGAATCAAAAAAGGGAATAAAACGCTGGGATTTACAGATTTGCTGGTCAATTTGACCCATATATTTTCTCCCAAATGCTTTTTGCATATATCCGCCCTCATGCACAGTTCAAGTGCAGTTGAATAACCGAGGTGCGGAGGACCCAATTGCCCCGACTCATATCGCAAGATACATAACAACGGCAAGGAAGTGGGGGTTAAAGGCAAATAAAAAGTAACGAAACTGAAAACAAGAAGAAAGTGCGTTAAATAACTCAGAATGAAACGGAAACTAGCAACCAGACGAAAAAACCGAATGCTGGAACTCCACTGACTGCGTGACTGTGCCATGTCTGAAAGGATCTCCAATCATTGGTGTGCCCGATCCCGAGGCCTCTACTCACGAAGATATCACGTACCAGCTTGACCAAGTCTCTCAGTCCATTTCTTCATGCCTCAATGCTACGCCCAATCTGGAGTAGAACACACTGATGACATCTTCACAACCGATTCAGTGCGCCGGTAGTAGCGCGCACTAGGAAACCTATCACGAGTGTATTCCATGATACGGGTAGGAATTTTGATCTCGTTGGCTACCGCCAGTTGCTGAATCGCGTGCATGGGCCACATACGAGTATAGGTGAAACTTCATTGGAGTTTATTGCGACAAGCAGAATGAATGGGGTTAACCAGCTTCTCACTTCCTTTTTACGTTTGCGGTCAAAGTGGTCCTAAATGACCTATTCCAGCTACTTCGCAATCGCGATTTGCGACAAGTAATGAAGCTAGATTAAACCGGCGATTTTGGCCGCACATGGCTGTATTCACTCCCATTGCAAACGCTCAGGAGAAAACCAGCGTGTTGTTTGGAGTGCTCTGTCATGCGCATCGTACTGGGACGAGGTGAGCAATTCATAGCTTGAAAAGTGGAACCGACAATATGTTTGGTTTGCATGATGATACTGCCCGGAAATTTAGGAGAGAAAACGCTCGATGGCGAAATTATCGATGTTACAGGTTAAACCGCGAAAAATCCCCGAACTACTACTGATGGGCAGATTAGAGCCGGAAGTCGGATGCAAGTTAAAATTTAAAATGCTGAATAGATAATGAGTGGCTTACGCCCGTTAAAAACGACAACTTAGATAAGTTCACGAACAATTCCGTCAATTCAGGAGGAGTGGGTCGCAGTGATCTGAAGACAAAATGCGGAAAAACAGGACTGCTGGCAAAAAATAAATAAATAGTCAAGCCATATGGTGAAAAGGAACTCCAGATGAGAACGCTTTTCCCGTTAGACACAGATATAAGTAAAAAGAAATGCTCTCACTCTTGATGTCAGGCGCTGGAATCCGTTCGAAACAGTGAGGAGAATCTGATAAGTGATCTCCAGGTCCCTGGGAAGCGATTCGGTAAGCAACACATATCCGCCCGCGTGGGAAGTCAAATTCAGACAGAACGGAAATAGCCGAGAGCCATTGGGGGCTAAACGAAGAGGACAAAACACAGATAAATGTCGAGAGACTCCCGATTTCGAACAAGTAAGGTACACTGTGTAGCACAACACCAGACGCAAATGTGAAAATAATGCAAAGTCGTCCAACTTGGGAAAGATGTATACGCACGCAAGCTTCATTATGCGAAGGCATTAGTGCTGTATTGAAGTGGAAGAGGCAGTACCATGAAGAACAAAACTGATGTGCACACTTTGTCACAAAAGTGCACTTGACCTGGAAACAAGCTGAAAAATGTGGAAAGCATGTCGAAAACTTGAAATCGAAGTTAAAAGACAGCGGTGCAGCAATCCAACGTAACGGGTAAATTGAGATGGTTATCATATGCTCGTTTGTGGCTTGCATTGTAATACTCATAACTTTGTCCAAAAACATCGTCAATTGCATGCCAGGAGCACCAAACCCAAATCCATAGGGCGTCAAGTGGCTGGAAAAGTAGGTTGGAATCGGAACCATCCGCCACAGCGCTCAACATCTGCCGCGGTGATGAAGTTCCGTTTACCTTGTCTTACCAACCTATATGTGGAAGTGCAAGCGATGGACAGAGTAAAGAGTTGCACATTGCACTGACTCGAAAAATGAAGAGGTGGATCGGGCAGGTGAAGGAGAAACAGCATCAGAAATGACAGAAAAGGAAAGGAAAATAGAATGCACTCAAGTGCTCATGGAACTCACTAACTGTCCTACGTCAGATTGCCTCAAACGATCGCGTAGGAGCCAGTGCCCCTACACGACAGTAGGGAAAACAAATCAAACACTTAGAATCGGCAAATGTTTCCTAAATTCCCCCTAGTTAGTTGCACAATTAGCTAATTAGCAGAGTGGAGTGATCTGATCGGGAGGGTACTTGGTGAGCAGCATTATGAATAGTAGTAGTAGGTGTGGGTGAATGACGTTGAAATGTATCTCATTCAAATGAAACGGTATGTGTGATGGCTGACTGAGTTGAATTACGATCAATATCTATCGCAGTGCATTGGGGCCTTCAACTAGATGTTCGTGGCTGTACTGAGATGACGGACTGAAGAAGGTAGATGTGATGTGAAACACGTGCCCAACCCCAATAGTAAGAACCAAGGTGCCTACATGTTCCAACAGTACAGGGTTACAAATATTTTGTTATGGAAGAAATTATCACTCTTGCTTACGATGCTCTGCACCCCATAACTGACCACACCCACAAACCACGCCCACCGTCGAACTATAAAAAGTAATCCGAACTGATTCCATTTTGATGAGGTAGTCTGCTTTGTCCATAGATGTTGGAAAAAGATCACAATTTTCATCCCTCTTTTATTGCTTTATGATGTTCAGCTCCCAGGCATCACCTATGGTTTTTCGGCGGGTTGAACAATCGGTTCATGATGTCCACTAATTTTGCACGAAATCGCCCTGCATCATGTGTCGATGTCGGTGAGGGCACATCTGATGATATAGATACTCAAAATTGACATTTTTCGGTGGCAGTCGATACTTCAGTCCCACTGGGAGGACCAACTGCATTCGTGTAAAGTGAACAGACGAAAGATTGTGTACTTGTTTAACGCATTCGTCAGAGAATGTTGTACTGGTCATTCTGACAAAAGTTCCTTGCAAACTGGTATTCTAGATGTAAGCTCCAAATGGACAACACATCGGACACTAATCTCCCGGTAAAAAAGCAGGTTACAAAAATGTTGCTAATCCTTTTGTTGCATGGATACATCATCGAAGCATAGTGTCGGCAAATGAGACCGACGGGAACCGAGGCACCAAGAATGAGAGGCGCATCGAAGTTACACAAGGCGTGGAATCCCTTACAACCAATTAGTCGGATGAATAACTATTCATGCCACAATGTTTCAAATTTGCTAGAAGAGTTCGTAAACAGCTAGTAGCACGTTGTTTAAAAGACTCCTACGAATTCATCGAAATACTGGACCGTACGTCACTACATGCAGAGCACATGTGTTCGATAGATGTGGACTCGCTTTTCATGAACGTACCTTAAGGTGAAACTATCGACGAACTATGCAGCTTCCTATTGAGTCGGGATCTATCTGTAGGTCTTCCTCCAGAGCACCTGACTGACCTGATATTAAGGCGCACAGAAAAGGTTCGGTTTGAATTCAAAGTGATCCAAATACAGGCAGGTTGACGGTGATGCAATAGGATACCTCCTAAGCACCGTGCTGGGGCTGTTGGAGAGGAAAACCGTTATCTTTCGCGAAGCTAAGCTTAAGAAATGTTAGGTGGACGATATCATAATATTCACCAACGAGGAACATTTTAACTGAATTGTCGCCCTGTTGAATTTGGTTCACTCCAATCTCTCCATGTCGTGTGCGAGAGAACAGCAAGATAACATGCCGTGGTTGGATATTCTCATCAAAAGGCGAGCCAGAGGTACACTGCAACGCACTGTCCATCGTAAAGCAACCTGGAGTGTGCAATACATGCAATTCAGCAGCTTCGCCCCAGTTGCATACAAACGCGCTCTGAGCAGAACTCTTTTTTACGGAGCCAGGCGCATATGCAGTCCAGAGATGATAAAGTGTGAAAAGGAGTCATTACATGGGACTCTACTGTCATAGGGGTATCCGGAGAAGTTTATGCCATTTCACAGTAATCTCAAAAACGAGATGCTACGGGTACAAACGAGCGAGAAAAAATGTCTATTTATTTCTGCCGTTTAAAAGTAACCATGTTTCGAATGACATGGGTCACAAACTTAGCTGTGCTCTAATGCGCACCTATATCACAGGAGGGCTACGGGTCATGGGAATCACAAAAAACTTAGTCTCAACTAACGTCGGAAAGCTCGTCAGTTGGTTTGGCCTCTCATGTTAATTACCAATTCAACTGCAGTTGTTGTGACATCTACATGGGTAGCAGCAACTGGCGACTAGCTCAAAGGGTGACTGAGCACCACAATTAGTGATTGAGGCAATGCATGGTGTGACAAGGAGAAGTGGATCAGATGAAGAGTTGGGACGCCACCTCACAAAGAATCTCGTGGTGACTATCCATAACATGGATCCATGGAAGGCATTCAAAGTCTTATGGATCAACCGTATCTCGAAAAAGCCGGAGATCAGTAAGTCGCTACTAACCAAGTTGAGTCGGCTAGTATGGCGCGTGCAAAAGCAACTGAATACTGAAAATAGTAAGCTAGTAGACATACGTCTGTGTTGCTTCATCGCAGTTAGTTCGGGCACGTGCGCGGAATCACGTTAATGATTCCTGCGCATGTAACAAATTGCCCTGGTCATGAGTATGCAAATCTAGGTTGACTCAGGTGCATTCGTTTCACATATAAATAACTTATTTCCGAAATGCAATACGTATGCGACTGAGAAGAGCAACTGAAATGTCACCATACTGCATATCATGTCTTCTGTCTGCGTTGACTAAGTGGGTAAGGGGGACACAGTGTCTAAAGTTTCACACTTCACAAAAATTGCCAAATGTCGAATGCTATGTTTCACAAGACCATATCAACCGCATAGTCAAAGGAAAACAGTTGAGATAGGATTGAAACAGAATGGGGGAATGGAGCAACACCAGTGGACACCCGTGTTGTCAGGGGTACGTGTGACTGTTCAAAATGGATTCTGACGTGAGTGCAAGTACAGGGCCGGTAAATTTTACCTTTTTTCCCCATAAGCACACACACTGAGGTTATCAAGAGAGTCAAGCGAGTGCATGGAAAGGGAAGAACAAAAACATTCGGTCCGAAACATGTCACGTTTACCAAAATCCAGTGGAAGAGCGGAAACATGAAGTGTACAGTGCCATCCCAGCTTGTTGCGCGCCGGCATCCCCCTCGCACGTGAAGCTGGATTCGCAATTAGGCCACAGACGAGGATGGAGGCCAATAAATGTGTGACTACCGACGTCAAAACGGCAACCCTCAGGTTCCGACAACTCTTCATGATTACTATGACTATGATTGACGCACTATAATTCGAAGGATGAGGGAATTGCGCTTACATAGGACATCACTACCATCCTTAAAAGGCGGGAGCACCGGTGTCTGGTGCTTTTCCAGACCAACCTAAGCCTCCTGACTGTGATGACCTATCTACAATTCAGGTTCAAGGAGTCTACACCTTGCGTTAACAACATACCATCACAAAGAGCTGGTTATCGCGCAAAGATAAGGCGGAATCAGCGAGACAGGTTACTTGCGGCTTTCACTGCCCTGCATCATAATCAGCCATTACCCCGCGGATAACTCAGCATCAAACAAACGTTAAACACGCAGCCCGACTAGGAGACGACAGCAGAGGCCCAACTAGTGCCGGCTGCAAGACATGTCCTGTAACATCTCGAGCCAAGCACACCAGTCACATGGAAGGCGAGACGGACCAACGGCACCCAGTTTGGTTGTCAGTGCCTTCATTTCCCGCTGCCAAGTTAATTTTCACCCATCTCGAACCTTGCGCTACCCTACAGCTGGCAAACAAAAAGGGCTATCCTCTATAAGTGGCGACCGGGCATACATAGTACGTTCCCAAGCGAACGAAACTTACCCAGTGCGATCTGTCGTTCTGATACGCCTGATACTTCCCTCTTAAAACTCGCCTATGTATAGCATGATTGTGGACGCGTTGCTGCTATCTGACATCCGCGATGCTTCGCAGAAAACGACGATCAAAGAGCTAAGGGCGCCGCAGGTCCTCGGATCAAGAGGACTGTCTCACTATCATAGAGTGGCCTTGTAAACACGGGATTTCAGACGGAGGGAAACTCCCTACTGTCATCAAAGATGCCGCAGATTCAAGAAGGCAGTTCAGACTTTTGTACTACGTTTACAGAATTCAGTGATTATGCGCCCTTCGCTTCTCATGTAGCTGCTGAGGCAAGTGAAGTGATCAACTACCGCGGGTTTCCAGCTATTAAAAGTCAAGGGGATATCATAAAGTGATTGGTGGTCTTGTAACAGCACTTTGCAATTTGAAGGTGCGAAGCGCATGCCAAATGATTGGACAACTTTAGAGGTTATTCAGGGTCGAGTGCACCGCCCCAACATTGTCAAACAGCAAGACATTATCGTCGCATAATCAAGATCAACTAGCTTAACACTGGAGTGGATCCATTAGAGTAGCAACACACAAAAAGTGCAATCGCACCGACTGTGCTAACCGCAGGGAGATTAGTCTAATGCCAGTTGTGACAAAAGTACTGGCCCAATTCTCGTTCGTCGCCTCAATGCGGAACGGGAATCTCGGATTAAGGAAGATCAAGCAGGCTTCAGTCCATATGTTCACCCTGAGGCAGGCAGCAGCGCCACACATACCGTAGACCGACAACAGCTGTGTTCCTCGACTTCCAAAGTGAGTACGATTCAGTCGATCGATGCATTCGGTTCGAAATAGTTGGGCGGAAAGGTATTACCACAAATTTATGTGAACATTTTACGCGCTCCATACTCGAACACTACAGGCCGCGTCAGGGTCTACGGTGACTTGTCGGAAATATTTCTGACAACAAGTGGCGTTCGTCAAGGCTGTCCCATTTCCCCATTGTTGTTCAACTTTGTCGTGGATTCCATGATGGGTGTTCCTTTAGGGAGCCTCATGATACAGGTGTTGAGGTGCTGCAATGTTAGTTGCTGCCTACTGAACACAAATTATAGAGTTCGCCAAAGTTTGGAGAATACGATAGCTGAGGTTTTAATTGCTGAAACGAGAATCTATGCCCATTACAACGAAGTTGAGAAACTTGACCGTCAAAGGTGATGTGACATGGCGCGCAGATGACGCGAAGTTCTAAGTTTTATTCATAGAGGTCTGGAGTAGTAAACATGTGGATATAAGGCTGGTCCACATATCTAATTACATAACTGAATGTCAAACTGGATACGATCAATGCACTTCAGAAGGAAGACGATTCTAAAGTATGTTTCACTCGCGCTCTTTCCGATGGCATCATCTAAGTGTACACAAAGACAAATTATAAGTATCTGATCGACGGTTCGAGGCTGACGCCGCAAGGAGGAAGGCTACAACGTGACATTCATGGAGAAAGGTCAATTGTTACTGAAAGCTTTGTGGGGGAAAGATCCTCGCTTAGGCCAGCGAAGCGGATCGTTAAGTGCAGAGGTTCGAGACAACTCGAAATATCAGAAGTCCGAGTTTGTTGGACTTGTCTTCCACTAGCATCTGCTAGGAAACCGGTAACACTGTTGCAACGGTGATGTTAACTCGAATGGCAACGAAACGTTAGCACAAACAGACTAAGCTACTCGATAAAAGTAGATTCATCCAGGTACGTCAATCGCAGAAGCGACACAATTGCAGTGGCTAATATTAATGTGCTTTGTATGTAAGAGGTGAACTGTTCAGCACCATTATATCATGCACCAGGATCCGATGGATGGGCCAGGTGTTGCGCATGCCAACCGATCGACTCCCGCGACGTGCGCTGTCTGCGCGCCGGGGGTGTGGATGGAAGAAGAGGAGAGGTGGCCAAGCTATGATTTGGTCAAGAGGAATGAATAGCTTTAGTTGGAAGTTGGCCTAGGTTGGAGCCTCTCGGCTAGGAGCAGACATCAGTGGCGTTCGTGTTGTTTCTTTGTCCCTCCCCCTCCCTCTTAGCCTCCCTGGGCCAACTACGATCCCAATTCAGATGCACAATATAGCACTTCCTTTTGCGGCAATATAGCCAGATGTTAGCTCTCCGGAGCGAGGTCCACCCGTAACCGGTGACTCAGCCGGCGTGCCTTTGTCGCACTTTCTTGTTTTCTCTGCTTTAGTATTGCGGCACAATAGCTGAGGCGTTCAATACCTCTAGCTAATGTGTATAATAAGGATGATGTTTGTAAGACAAATATTATCAGGCAACTAGCAACACAATTAAGATCCTACGATGCCAACATACCTCGAGAAAGAAAGGATGGATAAGGTTGTACAGAAAACCTGATGAGTCACTGCATTGCATACAGATATCAGCATTAGGTTGCGCTAATCCCATGATACAAACTAACAATATAGTTTTACGTAGGAGGTGAACCGAAGCAATTGATAACGCATGTGAAAGAGGAAGAAACATGCTGAAAAGAGCAAGAAAGAAGGATGGCAGACTCGTTAAGCCTTACTGCTGAGCGAATACGTTAGGATTGTACCGTCCTGATCCAAGGAATCCATCACGGAGAAAGTGAACAATTTGCTTCCACGAGTCCTACTGCTTTGAATGACGAACACCTTGGGCGGAACATCGGTGAAGTGCAACGCACCATTCGGTTTACCAGACGAGGGGCTTTGAAGCACGGTAACGTGAACGACGACCGAAGTGTTATCATTAGCGACACGTTGTGGCTGCCCTTGATCCTTGGCAAAAACCTGAAAAAGTAGGTGGTGAAGTAACAGGTCAGCGAACAATAACTTGCCAACAGACTACTGATACGACGCGAAAAGAAGGTAGAGATAAAGGTGTTCGGAGATATAGTCAAAACAATCACGGTGCAGACATTCGAGTGACGAACAACAGGGCATCAGGACGCTGTGCCTGTGCCCTAACGATTAGCGAACAAGAACTTCCTTTAGGAGCTACAGAGAATTCGATGGAAACTAAACGCAGAAAGTGCATATTTCAGCTCAAGTCACACGGCAGGTTGACAATTAAAGATAGAATAGAAACCGTGAGACAGCTTCCTTCTGGTTTTTACTACGCTGATTAGTCGATAGGAAGATACTAGGTAGCGCAATGACCAAAGGTTAAACAAACTAAGTCTGAAGATAGGATTCATCACATGTTTGTGAAAGGTTGGTGGTCATCAATCGAAAACTAAACAAAAGGTCAAGCAATATCGCAGTTAACTAGTAAGTCATGACGGTCCGCTGCCGTTCCTCGTTGCTTAAAAGTTGCATAAGCTGCTAGATGGTGACTCGAACCGCTAGTCGTCATGAGTCCAGTTCCTGAAGGGGACACGCACTACTGATGAGTTCCAATAGAACACGAGGCCATACCGTAATTTCCCTGACAGGTAAAACTTCTAACTGACTCGAAAGTTGCTGTGATTTATCCATTCATTAAGTTATAAATAATAGGCTCAAAGCGTTCAAGATAAATCGTCAGCAGTACGTGCTGTCTGTGGCAGGGTACAGTGACAGTTGTCAACCTGTTCCACTGTTCACATGCCATTGCGCGCGCTTGAACCAGTCCCCAGGCATTAAGCCGTCGTGTTAAATCGTGACGGACTCTGCTAGAGTAGAGAGTAGACCAATCATCAGTAAGGGAGAACGAGCAGGGCGAGTGCGCGACAAAAGCTGGAGTTTATTCCAGAGCAACACGAGAACTAGACGTGAGTTAAATTACACTGTACAATCTGCGTTGATTACACTGTGCAACATCATTTTTATAACAGAAATGATGTTGGATGTTTCTAATATTAGTATCAATTGTACTGATTACGAATATGCAAACCAAAGGTTTCTATCACGTCGGGTCTATTTAATTTTAATTTTTCATTTCAGCTAAGCAGTGCGTTCCATGCATCGAATGCCCGTCTGTGATTGGTCCATTGGCTCCGTGTAATCGTGGAAAGGAAGTCCTCTTGGCCATGGTATCCACCTGAAACTGAAAGTCGACTGAGAGCTGTTTCCTTAATTGATACCTTGATCATGGCTAAAATACGCGGCTGTGTCAATGACCTAAACCATTTTTGTTACGGCTGTGGAGAGTTTACTACAAAGTCTCAGTGCGGACCTATTTATTCATTACTGAAGTCAGCCTACCACGCATATTCCGGGGGGAAAATGGGAGATCAGGATAAGAAGTGGGCACCGCATATGAATTGTGTCGTGCAATCTCCATCTGACGAAGTGGTTCAAAGGCAAGATGCCATTTGCAATCCCCATGATGTGGTGGGAGCCGAAGGATTACACGACAGACTGCTACTTCTGCCTAACTAGTGTCATTGGAATCTCCAAGGGAAACAAGGACAAAATTCATTACCCGGATCTTCCATCAACCTGTTCCTCATGATCGCACCTTACCCATTCCAGTACCTACAGTGAACATGTCACCGATGATGAGTAGTGATTCCGCATCGTCAACTTCCCCTGATTTTGACGTCTGTGAAAACTTTGAAGCTGAAGATGTCAATCTACCTTTTATTGAACAATCAGAGCTCAAATGTTTTGGTATGTGACCTGGGCTTGCCTAAAGACAAGGCAGAATTGCTGGCATCTCGGCTGCAGCAGTGGCAGTTACTTGCTGCAATCACTGTTACTGTATACAGAAAGCGAAAAGTTAAATTGTCCGGTTTATATGACACGAGAGATACCTTTTGTTATTGTTCCGAGACGTGGAAGTACTGATGAAGGAGCTTGGCGTGAGGCATAGCAGTGATGAATAGCGTTTGTTCATTGACTCGTCCAAGAGTAATCTAAAGGTCATACTGCTCCACAATGGAAATCACCATTTCGCAGTGCCAAGCTGCAGTCAGTAGTCATGAGCGAGTGTTGCAGTGATATTTGAAACGTATCTGCCACATGGATGTATTCGGTATATGTTGTGATTGAGTACATTCACGTATAATTCGTGTGACATAGCCATGACAGTTAGGCTTGTGGATTTTGGGAAGGCCGTAAAGCCTTGGAATAACCGTGCCCACGGGGCGTAGATTTTCATAGACCGATTCACTGATTTAACCACCATTCTTAAGCTTTTTGAGATAGACGCACAGTTGGTTTTCGATCTGCTTTGTTTTGTTTCGCTCACCAGTCATTTTCAAGAATTTGATATTATCTGCCAATATTTCACCTATATTGTTGAGATAGTCTGCTTTGTTTAGGATAACAATGCCGGCGCCATTGTCTGGACGGGTAAGCAGAATGTGACGGTTGCTAAATAGTCGCTGCAGTGCTTGCATGTGCTCATGTTTCACTGGGGTGTTGTGCGATACCCGTGCACGCCGATGTTGATAACAGGCATGCATCAACAGGGATTTCAACTCTTCTGCATGCACTTCAAAGGATGGGATCACTTGCGAAGTCTGTGTGTAGTAGTTTTCAAACTGTGACTCTATTGCCAGTCTGTTGTGCTTTCTAGTAGGGAGGCAGAACTTTGGACCCAATGATAAGACTTAAATAGTGGTACGATAAAGAGGGAAACCAGACAGATTTTGGACGTATTTTTCAGCTTCGGCCGGGAAAGTCGTTGTGGCTCTCTTTCTTTATTGTTTTCGTGAATGAAGTGCCTAAGTTTGCTTCGTGCTTTGTGATAATTATAACCGTTTCCTCCAGCTCTTCCTGATCGCTTGCGGATAGGCTGGTTGGGCACGGTTATTCCAAGGCTTTACGGTCTTCCCAAAACCCACAAGCTAACTGTCCTCTTTGGCCGGTTGTGGACGTGAGAAACCCATACCAATGGTTCATCTGTTCTCCGAGCTTGGCGGTTTTCTCGCAAACGTTTCACCACCATGCGAGGTGGCATCCTCAGTGCAGTGATATGTAGCGTACTAGCTAGTACGCTACATATCACTGCACTGAGGATGCCACCTCGCATGGTGGTGAAACGTTTGCGAGAAAACCGCCAAGCTCGGAGAACAAATGAACCATTGATTCATCAACCCGAGCCACCGGTATTTCGAATCATTTTAAACCCATACCACTCGACTGCTCGTTGGTTGGTGGAACTTCTTGAGCCTGTGCGTAGACGAGTCGCTGTACACACCCTAAAGGACACTTTTGAGTTTGTAGATGCCGTTCGTGATGTCGTCACGAACCAAACTATGTGCTCTCTCGACGTCACCTCACTGTTCACGAATGTGCCTTTATTTGAAAAGACCGCGTTCGTTTGCGACTTTGTTGAGGAGAACCATCTTGATATTGGCATACCAACTCTGGCCCTGAAAGAATTACCGCTAAGGTGTACATTTAATGTTCAGTTCCTATTCAGCGGGGATATATACTGGCAGCGCGATAGAGTTGCAATTGGTTCCCCGCTAGGACCATTCCTCGCTGATGTTTTCATGGGTATGTTGGAACAGGGTAAATTGAAAGCGGTCATCAGTAGCCTTACATTATACCACCGTTACGGAGATGACATCTTCGTCCTACTTGACGCCTCTGGTAACATCGAGGCGCACACCAGTGTATTTAACCAGGCTAACAAAGCTATACAATTCACCTACGAGATAGAAGAAAATGGCGCTTTTCATTTTCTCGATGTAGCTCTAAAAAGACTTCATAGTGGTACAGTACAACGTCGCGTTTACCGAAAGTGCCCTTGGAGTGGACAGTACACAAACTTTCATAGCTTTGTGCTGCTTCGGATTAGGAGAAAATTGGTCCTTAGTCTCGTGAACCGGGTCGAAAGAATCTGCCCGAAGGATACTCTTTTCGAAAAGTTGCAGTTCATACGATCTAGCCTTAACGAGAAAGGCTACCCAGAGAAATTTTATTAATGCCAATATAAGGCGAAACAGGGAGGCACCTACGGTCCTGACGGCGGAACGGAAACTTATTTTCCTGCAATTGCCTTACAAAGGGGAAATAGTATCAGTGAATCTATCCCACCGTCTCTCGTCCACACTCAGGAATACCTTCCCAGCGGCGAGGCTGCAAATCCGCTTCACCAGTAGCCCAATGGTGAGACTAAACCTCAAGGATAAGCTGCCTGTCCACACCAAATCAATGTGTGTTTACTCCTTCAGCTGTTCATGTGGAGCAGGTCAATTTGGCCGTACGACAAGACGCTTATCCGAAAGGGCGAGGGAACACCATCCGGTCTGGCTCGGAAATGAAAGCCAAAAGGTCACCAACTCTGCCATCGCAGCGTATTTTGCGGATACGGGTGACGCCACCAAGTTGGCTGATTCGTTCAAAGTAATCTAGCAGACCCCGGAAAATCGATCAAACTATTTGCGTAAGTGGATGTTAGACGCCGCAGAAGCTCTCACCATTCGGTTGTACAAACCAGCACTGCGCACGCAGAAAATGATCAGAAACAGAAAGTAGCGAACAAGCTTGTTTTCAGGGCCCCGTCATCATACTAATACAACCACACTAAAGCAAACTAGAATAGACACAACGGGTTTAAATGCGGTCACTGAAGCAAAGTAACTAATCGATAAGTCTACGTGCTTGGTCTGGTTGAGGTGAGGTCAGGTGAAGTGGCGTGACTGCCATTGTTAGTCGCGTTGATCTGAGGCCAAGGCAGGGTTAAAGTATGGACGAGTTTTTCTGTGCACATAGGTCCGGGTTATAGAGCCGAATTGCGATCGCCTCTGCTGTCGACAGCAGTCGACATCTGACTGCCCGTGTGTAACGTCCGGGGACACAGTCGATCGATGTGAATGCGTCATGCGGGGCGATTTGATGATCTGTGTCTACTAGGGGCGTCCATACTGCACTCGTTACATTCTTCCTCGCCATTTATACGCCATACGGTGCCGCCAACTCTTCACCCAACGTAGGTAAACAAGTACGAAATTGGTCGTGAAGTGCAATGCCGCCAACGAGCGATAGTTTGCGTGGTCACTGAGTTGCAGTTTGATCTTTAGATTATCAGTGAGACTGCACGCTTGGACAGTCGCACCCCATGTTGATAAATCTCCTAAAATGTTTCTTTTCTACAATAAAGAGCTTCGGCACTGTTATTGATCGTCAAAACGAGTGCAGAGTTCACAAGAACAGTGGAATGCCGAGCGAATCGAACCGTACTGCCAGCTCGCGGGCCACATTCCGACCCGATTCCCATGGCTCATTTGATGATATTGCGCCTGGTGCTAGGTGACACTCTGGTAATGTACTCCAACATGTTTATTGGCTTCTGAATCACAGTGTAAGGTCACAAGAACGAAAAGGAGGAGTGACTAGGCCACAAGTGAGAGTAGAAACAATGAAGAAGAGAACACAATAAGCAGAGCATCCATGGTGGCTTGCGCTGCATGACAAAGTGCAAGGAAAATTGACAAAGGAACAAAGTGTGTGCTTCAGACAGGCAACTTAGCTGAGGTTCTAGGGAAGTTATGTGAACAAATTTAGTAACTGGTGTCTCATGCAACGGATTAGTGCAGTTCTTTGTGGAGGGCATCCTTAGAAGTATCGGTTAGCTAGAGTGTAGACAGCAGCCGCGAACAAGCAGCCTCAGTACTATATCATGAACTTGATTCAATCACTAATGAAAAACAAACTGCAGTGGGGTGGGTGTTCACAGGAATCCGATCAACCAATGAGGATTTGATCATGAAATTGAGCACAACGCTCATTATCGCCAGCCCAGTTGACGACGTTACAGTATATCTGGAAGAATGTTACCGGCAGGATAAGGCAGAAGCAATTTGCTTTATATACATCACTGTATTGTCGTCCAGTAAAAATGGTAAAGCACAAGATCCAGTTAAAACACATGCGGTTGTATCGGATATATAAGTGAGGCGCACAGATGTATTTGACGATTACCTGGATATCCATCACAAGGTTTTAAAAGATTTGAAAACAATCGGTTGGTTGCTAACCACAAATACTAACGGATGGTTTTTTACATTCTTCTGAAAACATAAGTTCTCGATCGATGTCAAGCGCAAAGGTGTCAAATCAACTCCCAGGTTGTCATGGCGGATAAAGCAGGGGAAAGCAAATGGTTGCAACCAACCTAAAGATATTGTGGATGTACACAATAGTGACACCAAGTAGAACAATCCAAGAAAACACGGAGAATCCCAATATACTACAGATGCGGCTGCAAGATAACATGAGCGTAATGCGTCTTTAATATGGCGGTAATGAAGGATACGCAAAGATGGCTTATGAACACTTAAGTAGGTGCATCATCGAGATGGAACCTGTCCAAGATAATGTCAGGATTTATAACAAGTAAAAGGAAAGAAAAAATATTAGGTGGTACTGTTGTGGTTTCCATGTGTTTTTACAGTCATTTAGAATGCATTTTTTCACAAGAACATGAGCAATTTGAAGCCGCTAGGTTACACATGATCTGGATTTCATCCGACACTTATCTGTTCAGCCAAGTGAAAATTCGGCACCTAATCATGATCGAGACTGTCATTCGACAATTATATTTTCAGCCGGTGGTCGGTCCTTAGGCAATTACGAATGATCAGGACAACCAATTGACATTTGCCTCTCCAGTCAGAATACCGAAGAGCCTTAAGTTGACGGAGCAATCGACACTGGTTTACGGTAAATGTTCCAAGCTCCAAATAAGGGCTAGCAGCAGTCCCACTTCCCTTGCAGCTGAAACAATCCAAGTGTTAGAAGAGTCTCAAGGAGGTCACTTAATTAAAACTTTTCTTTGCGGGAAACGTGTTAGGGTTAGACCAATCCTAACTAACCCAAGCACAATGATCATCGATCAACCACTATCGAGCAGAGTACTGACGGTTGTCCAACTTCAGGCCTGTAGCCCAACTTGGTCATATAGAAGGATTCTTTAAATGTGCCCATTCTATTAGTACCGGGTTGCAACAGAAAGTATCAATCTAAAAGCCGGAAGTATACAAGTGCATAGACAGCGACTCACTCGTATTTCGTATTCACCGGGTTGAAGAGGAAAGAAGCTTGAGCATATGTCGCCAGTTTCAGGATGAACATCAAAGCCACCGTCTGAATAGCTGTTGTTTCCGTCAAATTTGGAAGACCTGTCGCGCCAATACACCACCGTACCGTTCAAAGAATCATCCAAATCCACTGCGAACACGCGCCCGACACAACCTAAAGTGGAGTCTAGAGTAGGACAAAGTGAATATGAAGTAAAGCGTAGAGAGTAATTCGACAGTTGCAGGATTTGCAACAATGAAGGAAGCGGTGCAGCAACACCACTTGTCAAATTGGGGATGGACTAGGGGACAGAGCAATAACACAAAGGAGCAAGACCCACGTATTGCAAGAGTGTGAAGGAAGAAAGTGTCAATGATGGTGCTGGTCCAGTGAGTCAGTGTTGTGTCGAATTCTCGACTATTTTCATCGCAAACGGCAGGGAAAACACGGGTTCCTTTCATAAGAACACAACACTGCCTGTATATAATGACGCGTAACTGCAAAAACCAACCAGGGCACTGAAAGCACGACCAGACAAAGGGCCGAACAAATAAGGGACCAATCGGATGCACACTAAGGGGGAAGTGATAGCGTTGGCGTCACAGCGAAACTGTGACCCGCACTCAGAAACGACCAGCATAAACATTCAATAAGGCTATCGAAGTGACAATGAAGGGGCGCAACAAAGCAAAAGTTTACAATTATAAACGTTTACCCAACTGCAGCTGCAAATGTATCGGTACTCTAACACATAGTACAAGAAGCGGCCCGTAGCCTTAGGGATTACGAGCTTGCCTTGTAATCCGAGGACGCAGGTTCCAGTCTGCGTAGGGACCCGGCGACTCCCGCCGTATCCCTAGCCCACGTGCGACTGACTGGTGGTGGTTGCGCGGTAGCGAAGCGTCGATACTGCGTACCGGCGTACTGCTGATGTCTTGCAAGAAACCGTCATTTGTGTGTAAAATGAACTGAACATGATACAAGTACACAGAGAATAAATGAAGACGGCAGAACGCGGTGAGTCATTTATTCACAAACACAATTATCGGTAGCACGTTAATACCCCGCACCGACGCTTCGCTGCTCGGAAGTGGTCGTATGCCACGAGAGTGCTACCTAGGCAACCAAACCAACGCAGGGGCACAGACTCAATCCACATGCTAATTATGTGTTTGCAGTATAGTTCTCAGGACAACTGAGTCCGACGATCGTCAGCAGCTTCTGCTCACTAGTATAAACCCAGATGCCAAACACATCAAACACACCATGGGTGAGATGATACACAAATCAAGAGGGAATGACGAGCTAGACACCCCAACAAAGCACTGTTTACGCTAGGATAAGAGAAAAGCGAAGAGAATTCGGTGATGGGTCTGAGAACAATGATATATAGTAATAGACAAAAGGCAAATATGCCCAGATAATGGTAAGCTATTTCGCGGTTTGGATAAAATGAACAGGTACAACCTAAGTGGAACTTTGAGACAGTGTCGGGAAGAACGAAGACCGAAATGCCTTCGCTCACAATAATGCTTTTTGTGAAAAAGGGGGAAATAAAAGTTCCTGAAGGTGATGTCTACACGAACCTTGTTCGGAATCATAAACGCGGAAGTAATAGGTGAGGAGCGTCGAATGCCTCAAGACATTTGGGCTCAATGGCATGAATCTCGGAGTGTGATCATTAGCATCGAATACGACAATTCGAACGTTAACTTCTACCGTTTTCTCCGGAGAGCCTTGGTCTGAGATGGATACCTGCAAATAGAGCAAACGAAAAGGAAGGCACGATAAAAAAACAGTCGAGTAAAACCCACAGCAAATGAGAGTACGATGTTGGATGAGTAGATCAAAAAACTATGAATGCGTTCAAACAAAGTTTCCTTGGCTGCACATTAAATGATAAATTACTGCTGAAACACATAAAGATGATAAAAGATAGCCAACAAAGAGAACACTCAAAATACAAATCATCAGTGAATCTCGGGGGAGATTTAAAGATCCACCAGCAACAAACGAATCTGATTGAGGTTTACAGGCTTAAGGCTGTGGCAAAAATTATTTAGCAAGGACAAGAAAAGCAGGCTCGTCAAGTGCACCCATTCCGATGAAAACGGCCAGTGCATGCAACAAGCAGAAACCAATTGTGCTCATGCATTTGAGTATCAGTGCACAGTTGAGGGGACGATGCGTAACACTGACAAATAACGTCAGATGGAAATATCACAAGGATACATACAAAAGAAGTTGGTGGTGGATCAAACGAGTGCGATTCACAATTCGATAGATTTAAAAAGTACGCGCATAAAGTGGGAAGGTCCGGGGTAAGCGAGTCATGATTATAACGTGGCGCAACGAGAAGTGGATGCATAGGAGATTCTAACATGAAAGGACTAGTGGTAATGGTTGAATAGAGCGCGTAAGGAAGACACTGAAAAGGAATGACAGAAAAGCGAAGCAATCGAGGGCATGCGCAATAGTAAAAGACAAGAAGCATAGTGGATGAGCAAATCTCACACAGAGCGGGCGAAAGGTCAAGGCGGGGTAAAAACGATAATGAACGGAGGGAGGTAACCAGTAATGATGAGGCTTACCACGAGACAGATGTGGTCCGTTGACGATGTGCGAACGAGTAATTCTCTATCTATGGGTCTGGTTGTAGTATATACAGATCCTAATGTTTGAATAAAGAAAAATGTCGAATGAAATGAATAATCTGTGTGAACGGGACAATGATCAGAGGAACATTACGAAAGGCACGGTTTCCCAAAGAAAAGCAGCGTACACAAATGCACCGGAGTTCAGTACCAGTCAGTGAAAGCCGCTCGGATAAAATATGCTTAATTAGCTGTTGACGGATTGTGCAACAATGACAAGAACACCAATCATAAGTGAAAACAAACCGTGTAGCAGCAGTGAAATATTAGGGTTCCAAAGCCAATAAATGAGCAAAGATCAACCAAAGACTAAAAATAAGTCATAAAATGCATTGAGATGGAAGTAAAGTTGGGTGTCCATAGTTGGGATACGCCGTTCAGCGCGAGCAACAAGGAACCAGATCACATGGACTGCAGACGGAAGGGTCAAAATGTGGGACTCATTAGAATAAAACTTAACACTAGTTTGATTTAACTGGAAAGAGGAAAACACTTACAGATAGACATCGCAAATCGTGAACTGACAGAAATATGCCATAAAAACCTAATCGTGCCAAATATACGTTGATGAGTGGCGGGACATGGAGGATAGCTGATCTATAGAAAAGGCAATCCTCAGGTGGGTACGCTGTATCCGTTAGTCAGGTGCTCGTAATGTACACTAAACATACTAGCGATTGCATCGCGGCTGCATTGCTAATGTGGCGTCGGTGGTACGACACGCACATCATGTTCGTTCGGAGGTATGCTTCTACACCACCAATGCACGTATAGTTCGGTCTGAAAGAATGATATCGTGCTGGCCAGTCGCATATCCCACTGTCCGTGCTCATGTCGGATCGCGTATCACAAAAGCAAAACACGCAGGCTTGAGTAGGTAAACACGAAGCGAGATGGGGTCGCCGTATACTCGTTCATCAAAACTGCATCAAAGACACCTGCACACCAACATGCAGACCGGCAGCCTGAAGAAAGAAACTTTATCGCATAGTGAATGTTGATCTTTTATTTTCGCTCCGGGCAGCATTTTCAGCTTGGTGCTCATACAGAGAATTGGAAACTAGCACGGATGAATCAATGGTTGGACTTGGTACAAGTGTGGTACACGAATTCGGAGAAAAGCAGGGAGCCAGTAATGTTAGCTGAAAACCGGAGGATAATCCCGGGCGAGTGACACATGTTGTAAGGGTTCGATCAGTCAAAGATTTATGGCCAGTGAGCACCGGTTGGTAAGTGAGCAATAAACGTTGGTGAGAACACACTCACTTTGTGTGCCAGCAAAGTTCGAAGAGGATATATAGAGCACACAAAAATGGTTGCTACGCTTATTGCGGTGCCAGTCTATAGAGCTAGCAGGAGCAGTATCGGGAGTAAAAAGAATGCAGTTTGAACAGTATAGTTGGGATTTAGATACGACACCGCAGGGAAGACCGAAATAGTCCTCGCGCTACACACCCTGCAACGGCAACGTGTGTTGCATTCAAATACCGAAAAACAAAACAAAGAAACCCTTCAAATGGATTGGAAAACAAGACGAATAGCATCACTATCGCTGTTTGAATGCATAGTGAAAATTAGTTTGGTATAGTTCTTCAGATATTAGGTGATAACACCGGACACTATGCTGTGATGTAAACTTTACTCGGTCCAATGGGCCCACCCGCAGATTTGGGTAACAACGATGTAGTGCTAAATCGAGGTACCAAAAGCTTCATCAAACAACAACTGTTTCTTTTACAACCCATCCCTTTTCAACTGTTTCGATAACCTAACATGCGGTAAACCGGACAACTGGGTCACATCATCTCGATTTCTATAGGTCCTTCATCCCATTGTTGCAACTAATATGGTGACCCATCGCTTGCATGGGTTAGAAAATGTGTACTAGTACATCGGATAATTATCATCATCAATAGCAATACATCGCAGATTTGTATTGGTGCTTCGCTGCCATACAACCCGGTGACCTGTGGAACGAAGAATAATAAGAAGGAGAGAAGGGGGACCCAGCGTAAAAATTTAATGCCCCAAGTGAACAATCGGAGTCAAGGCGCCTACACCTAGAGGCAACAACGTACCGTCACCAACAGCTGGCTATCGTGCAAAGACAAGGCGGAATAGGCGAGACAACTTCCTTGCGGCTTTCACTGCCCGCGTAATAATCAGCCATTAGCCGCAGATAACTCAGCACCAACCACGCTTTAATCAGGTAGTCCCACTAAGATCTGACAGCAGACACTACTGGTGCCGACTGCGAGGCAAGCACAAAGCGGGTCACGTGGACTCCAGCTTAGAAGACGAGACGGACTAAAAGCACCTAGTTTGGTCGTCAGTGATTTCATTTCCTGCTGCCAAGTTACCCCTTACCCACCCGAAGCCAGGCGCCACTCTACATCTAGCAAAAAAGAAGGCCCTAGATAGTAAGCGGTGACAGACCAACCCAACGCAACCTATTCACTGATATCCTTTGTTCTAAGAAACTAGCTAAGTTATCATTGCTTAGCTCTCGCTTACGAACATTATCATTGCGGTCAGGCTGTTGCCATTCAATACGGGCAGTGCTTCGCAGACAACGATGATCAGAGCGTTGAAGACGCCGCAGGTCATCGGATCGAGAGGGCCAAGTGTCACAACCATATAGTAAAACGGCTCTCACTGTGGTCTATAACACACGGCCTTACAGACAGAGGGAAATTCCCTTCTGTCGCCAAAGATGTCGCAGATTCAAGAAGGCAGTTCTGACGTTTGTACTACGTGTACAGACTCCAGTGTTTATGCGTCCATAGCTAAGCATGCAGCTGCCGAGGCAAGTGAAGTGATCAACTGCCGCAGGTTCCTAGCTATCAAGGATCAAGGGGTCATTAAGTGGCTGGTAGCCCAGTAACGCACTTTGCACTTTGAAGGTGCAAAGCGCATGTCAAATGATGTGACCACTCTAGCTTATTCGGGGTTGATTGGGCCGCGCCTAAATCGTTAAACAGCAAGACGATATGGTCCGCATAATTAAGATCAAATGGCGTACCACCAGGCAGCACCTAAAAACATGCAAGTTAAGATTCCGCACATGAACACCACATGATGGAGTCCACGAAAAGTTGAACAAAAATGGTGAAACTGGATAACCCTGACAACCGACAAGTCACCGTAGACCCTGACGTGGTCTGTGGTGTTCGAGTACATGACACATAAAATGTTCACATATTTCATGAAAACAACTACCTGCAAAGTATTTCGAAAAGAATACATCGGACGACTGAATCGAACGCATTATTGCGGTCCAGGAACACAGCTATTGTCGGTCTGCGCTACGTGGGGCGCTGCTATAACACGTGCCGCAGAATGAATTTATGGTCTACACAGCCACGCCCTGGGCGGGAGCCTGCTTGCTCTTCACTAACTCGCGATCCTCGTACCATAATGAGGAGACGAACGAGATTCGAGCAAATTAATTTTTTCACCATGGGCGTTAGGCTAATACCCTCCTGGTTAGCACAGTGCTTTTGACTGCCCTTCTTGTATATCGCCACTAAAATCGATCTACTCAAGTTAACCGGGACGGTTTCTTCCTTCCAGATTTGTTTGAACAATAAGGTCAGTGCTTCAAAGTTGGATTTGGAAAATACAATGTGGTTGGATCGCGGTATGCAACCTCTATTGAGACCTCGGTTCAATCTGAGGTAGACCTCGGTCATTCCGATCGCAATGACCGGATCCGAAACGGAAGTATTTCGGTGTCTGTGTTGAGAGGAGCAACATGGAAATACTTTCAAAAAGGCCAGTGCTTTGTAGATCTCACATCCATGCATAAATAGTGCAGGTGGGAGAGAATCCGGGCCAGCAGCACGAAAATGATTAAGGGCTGCGATCGCGTTTCGGACCACTTAACTAACCGTCCATTGCTCAGCCTGCACCAACTGAGTAGGAAGAAGTCTAGAAGCAGGGAGACAACTGAATTGATCTCAAATGTGCTCCGCGCAACAAGTTATACGGCGCACCCGCGCTGTCTGGGATTGTCTCGCTGATGCCTGGATTTCTGAGGCCAGTAATGCAAATCATTTGGAAGAGCTTGCGAATATATTCGTACTGTGCGCAAACAGAAAG